GCCCAGCCAATAGAAACACCAGGGCTCAGTGGGAAGCTGTCATCACCATGACCTCATTACTATCCTCACACAGCCTTCATTTTTCTTTTGCTGATGACTCCGTGCCCCACTCAGTTTCTATAAAAACTTTTCACTTTGGGTAACTCCTCAGAGCATCTCTCTGCTTGCTATCGATAGATGAGATGCTGCCCAATTTGTAAAATTAATAAGCAAGTAAGGTATTAGTTGAATTTTGATTTTTTTAACCTGGGGAATAAAACAGTAAATATTAAACAATACTAATGTGGAATAGAACTGTTCTTACCTATCAATTTATGAAAATATAATTCCTACTGCAAAGATTTATTAATGTTTTTTTCTGAGGCACTGAAATAAAAACTATCTGTGAATATATAATATTAACTGATCACATAATTTAAGCAAAATTTTATCTAATTTTCAGTGATATGATCATTTAAATCATACAATTAGAGGCATACATGTTAGTTGGTCAAACTAAAAATTAAAATCAGGAGGGATTAAATACCCCTTCACTCCACTCTCTGAAAAAGGTATATTTGACAGGGGATAAATGTGGTCATATAAGTCACTCAACCCAGGCATTTATTTATTTATTTTTTATATCAATCCTTATTGTTCATATTATTACAAAGTTTTCTCATTTCTTCTCCCTTCCACCAGGTTCCCACCCCACCCTCCGCCCCCTCCCCACCTCCCATTGTCCTCATCCATAGGTGCACAGTTTATGTTCAGTCACCCCCCCCTCCCCCCAGAACACTCAGTCCACTCCCCTCCCATATTGCCCACTCTACTACAATGAACCGCTATTATTGTTCATCAGGTTTTTCAATTTTTTTGTTGTTGTTGTTTTGTGTTTTTTTTTTTTTTAAATTAATAAACTTTTACACTTCTAAGAATAAATTTTAAAATCTAATAATTTTAAACCTTGTTTTTTGTTTTTTTTTCTGCCCTGGGAATTGAGAGCAAACTTGTTTACATGTAAACTTGCCCTTAGGCTATCAAAGGTGTAGCCATTCAAGTGTAAATGGACACATTGTTTAAACATAACTGCTGGTTGGAATTGGATTACCTGTTCTGGGTGGGAAGGGCTTGTCATTCCCTTTCTCCATTAAAATTAAGGTGTTAGCTTTAAAACCTCTTTTTGGCAAGAGACCTTAAACTTTCAGAACTTTAAATTTTTCAGATAGTGAATCAGTTACTTAGCATTTTCTCATATCAATAATACCTCCACATGCCCAAGGATACACTTCACACAAAAGACATTTCCCAATAGGTCAACTAGCCTCATCCAGGCCCCACCGAAGGCACTCACAGATCAACACCCCAGCGCTATACTAACTCAACACATCCAGATCTAAGTCTTCATCACTTGATTCAGCAGACCCTCAAGTTCCCCCAAAAGTTTCCAGCCATCTGAGAGGCAGCCTTGGGGCGGAGGCAGGTGAGAGCAAGCTGTTCTGGGCCTGGCTGCTCGGGGCCTGGCCTCTGTTGCTCTGGTTCGTTCCACAACCAACTGCTCCAGGTCTGGCCACTACCGCTCCTGACCTGGCTGCTCCGGGCCCGGCCAGGCATTTATTTCTATAATGTTCTTATATGACATTTAAAATTCCTTACCACAATAATAATCAATATGAAATTTCAAATAAAATCCTAATCCACTTTTAGTTGTCCAATGTTCATGGCAGTCAAATTTACTCTCTACCCTGTTTCCCCCAAAATAAGACAATGTCTTATATTAATTTTTGCTCCCAAAGATGCGCTAGGTCTTATTTTCAGGGGATGTCTTATTTTTTCCATGAAGAATAATACAGTACACATTTATTGTTAAATGAAAATAAAGGAAATTTATTACCTGTATACAGTACGGTAGTACGGTAGTTGTCAACACAAACCAGACAAACTGTGAATCCTACAGTATCAAGAATTTACTCATTTATTCAATGACAATCATGTTATCATCTTCTGGAACATCATCATAAGAATCCAATTCCTGAATTTCCTGGTGAATTTCTTGTGACTCCATTTCTTTCAGAATCAGTGGGCCAAATCTCTCATGTTTAGCAATAACACTGTCTTTAAATGAGTACTTCTTGTCAAGGTAACCTGCTCACAGTGCATTTGCAATGCAACTGTCAGTGATTTTCTCCCATGAATTCTTCACCCAAGTCAAAACTTGCAGTTTAGGTTTCACAAAGTTTCCACGCTTTTTCTCCATTCTATTTTCAATGTAGTCATTAATTTCCATGCACAAATTGTCTTTGAATGGCTTGTTTATTGCCATTATTGATAGGCTGTCATTCCTGTGGGAATCATTATCTGATCTATTTTTTCTTTCGTGAAGAAATGTCTTCATGTCTTTAGCGCGGTGAGTGCTGGCTGCATCTCAGACTAGCAGACCTCTTTGGTTCCCTCGCATAACAAGCGGCAGCATTAAATCGACCCATTTCCTTATAACTGCTTGTGTGGCCCAGGCTTTTTCAGTTTCAAGAATAAAAACGCCCAAAACACGTTCAATCTTTTCCTTCTTGCCCTTAGAAATGATTAAAGGTGGGATTTTAGTGCCATCCAGACGAATTGCCAAAATACAGGAAACACGTGCACTTTGGTAAGCAGTGGAAGGAATGTACACTAAGGAGGCACCCCGCTGTTCAATTGTTGTTTGAGATGATTGGCCCATAAACACTGCAGTTTCATCCATAGCAATTATGTTGGAAAGATTGTATTTAGAGAAGTCAGCATCATCAATAAAGGAAGGACTTGAATGCAAGTGCTTGCTTAATAACTTGAGTATCTTCCAACCTAAACAATGTTGTAGATCTTAAAGACAGTTCACTTCGCTGAAGGAAATTATCCAGCCAGTGTTGTGATGCTTTGAAGTCTTTGGAGGCTATGTCAAACTGTGGTGCCACTGCAAGGGCAAGTTCTTGAATCTGAGCCCTATTCACAACCAAAGCCTCTGCACTCCTGTCAACAACCCATTCACAGATCAGGTCTTCCAGCTTGGAAAATAATGGTTGCCGACCTGATCCACACTTGTGCTTTTTAGTTTCCCTTGTTCACTTGTTCAATGAGGTTACCATACTCTGCTCGCCATTTTTGGACCAATTGGATACTCAACATCTTCTCTTTGCAGAAAGCAGTAAGAATTTGGCCCCAAGAGTCTTCCACGATTCCTTTCTTGTACTCCACGGAGTAGCTTTTTCTTTTTGCGCTCATTTCTAGGGGTAAAAAAAAGGAATTGGGGTATCAAGGTGGGGGGAGGGCAATCACTTAAAATGACACAGGGGGGATCAAAGGGGGGAATCAAAATGGCACAGAAGAATCAGAGGGGTGATTACCATTTTAGTAACCCCTTTTGATCCTCCTGTGTCGTTTTGATTGCCCCTTCTGATCCTCCTGTGTCATTTTAAGTGATACCCCTCCCCCCACCCCTGTGCCACTGAACACCTTCACTAGACATCCCCTCTACCCCTCTACCCCTTTATTAGGCCTGCCTGGGGACTGTCACTGGGCTTGCTGGGGCCTGGATCTGGGCTGGAGCAGGGTCTGCCACTGACTGAGAACCTTCAGTTATCATGAGGGCGGCCGCGAGCATCAGGTAGTGTAACCAGAGACAAACCAGCACTCACCACCTTCGCCACATCCCGTCCGCTCTAATCCTCCTGTTCTACACGCATCTGCAAAAGTCTCTCCTCTCTCCCGCCCCACGCTCACTGCTCACTCAGACCTCCGCTCTGCCTCCACACAGTCAGGACTCCGTGTAACATCACTGGTTGCTAGACGCCAGTCGGGATGGCCTTATTTTCGGAGGGATGCCTTATATTTCACTCAGAAGGAAACCTGTAAGTAGGTCTTATTTTCGGAAGATGTTTTATTTTCGGGGAAACACGGTAGGTTTAGGACATGATATCTTTATCACTGACATACAGATTATATATAATCACACTTCAATAATCTGATATATTGGAAATAAAAACCACATAAATTTTGGTTGGACAAAATCATTTCTTGCTTAGTATAATCTTTTAGTTTAAAACTCTGGGTAGGTTCCTCAGAGAATGTCACCGTAGGATTTGTGTAGCATAAATTTATGAAAGAACTACACTGGAGTCAGTGGGTGTAGAAGAGAAACAAAACCATCCCTACATCCAATTGTCTGAGACTAATTTACCATCACTACCCGTATTTCTTTAAAAATATTATTATTTTTTTGGTTCTCAAACTGTTATACACAGAAAAATACAAATTTTTTACATTAAAACTGAGAAATTTATTGATTTTTTTTCATGAAGTAGTAAGCAGAATTAAAGAAGAAATTACAGCTTAAAAGAGTTCAAATGATCCTAAAATATTTACGACAATTTTAAATTCATGGCCTAAATAAAAATGAATAGCTTTTAATAATTCAATTGCTTAAAAATTTTGCTCAATAATTTATCTGAAAGTAAAAAGATATGAGGATAACTAGAGTCTGGCACCTTGTAAAATAAAATAATGCCACTTTATCCTTCTCAAAAAAATTGTGATCCTTGTGAAAACAGTGGTTCGGTTCTGCTCCCCACCATAGAAGCCACCTCTCCATTCTAGCACTTACAAAAGTGTCATCAGTCTTCTGATTTGTAAGGATGCCAATTTTGGTTCCATTTAAAAATGTTCCAGTAAGGCAGTCAGAGATATCTGATCCAGCCTTTCACAGAAGAGATGATGATCAATATCTCAACACAGCTGTCATGGCTTTCTTCTAGTGCTCATTGAGGTCAAATGCCCTCATATAATTATAAATGTTAAAAGATAAAATTACATCTTAACAGCAGCCAAAAATTTATATATTTTTTAAGTATTTACAATATTATACATATTTACACGACCACATCGAATGCTGAATTGTAGAAACAAGAGACCACTATAGAAGCATTCGCTTAATGCCTCAACATTATTTTCTTGTGCAAAGTGAAACTTTTCTCAAACTTCTTAGAAAGCTAAAGACAGTCAACATTGCGAAGGCCACCATCCATGGTTAAAGAGCCAAATCTAAAAACAGAAGAAAAAAAGCATCATCAAAAGATTCATTTATTTGGCCCCTAACATTTTAACGCAGACTACAGAATACTTTTCAGGGGAATAAAGAGTTTGAGCAACTGTGAACTACTCTATTTCTTACTGAAACACAGTGGTATTATTATAAATATATGAAAAACACAATTCAGTGGCTTGGGAAGAACTTGTTAAAAGAAAACAGAGTGGGGTAATCCAGAAAGCATTAGGAAGAACTGAATAACTTCTTTTTGGTGTGGTGGGATTCATAAGCAAATATGTGGAGTTGAGAGTAAGTGTGACATATTAAAAGGACCGTGAGGAATGGAACCAAAATAAAGATAAAAAGCATCTCTGCTAAATAAGCATCAGACTGCTATTTTTGGTATATGTGCTGTCAAGGCAAGCACAGATTGTCATTTTGGGGACTAGTGAAAAATATAGTTGGATGAGTAGGCTGGGGTTGGACTATTATATTCTTTGAACTCAAATATGAATTTAAATTTGACCTTTTAGATAACAAGAGTTTAGACATTTTCACCCAACTCCTCAAAGATTTGCAGAGAGCTCTGCAAGTTAACCAGTACCAATCAGGGTGCTGGCATCTTATAAGCAAGTCTGATTCTAAAATTGAAAATTATAATTCTAATGAGAAAATTTTATAAAAAATAATATGCAAAAAAATTTTTAATTCCAAAATGGAAAATAATTCTAATGAAAAAAACAGTATATATGAAGTAATTACCACAAACTGATTCAAATAAGCAAATAAATAATTCTATTAACCAGTGCTTCTAGAAAATGGAATCAATCATAGTTGACATAGTTTTATCCAAACAAATCAAAAGGCATGAAGTCACCAAACATAAGGGTCCTGATTTTATATCGCTTTCCCACTACCTAATCTATCAATATAGAAAGACAGAGAGATACAGGTATAGACATGTACATACTTGACTGCATATAAAATCACAGGGCAGAATGATACCTGCATTAGCTCACCTTTCTAAAATATGGTTATTTTCAGCAAGTTCTTTAACCACCCCTTCCATTTCTTCTTTTAATTTCTTCATACTATACATACAAAATAAAGATATATAAGCATATCTGCCCAAAAAAGTATGTAAATATTTTAGAATTGTATTTATATTATGTTTTAGTTCTGTAGCTTAAACTAGTCACTAGATAATATTTACAAACATATTCACAACAAATATAAAAATTTTTAATATATAAGATCAAGATCACAAACGAAAACAAATGGAAACATTATAGTTATCAAATAATAAATTTCTTACCCAAGAGTCATTTCTACTAATGTGTTAGAACATGGATAAATTGGAGTCATGGTATGTTTGATTCCACTGGAGGCTGCAAACATTTTCTGAGGCAAAGTTTCTTGTAACTAAAACAAAAAAAATCCCACATCAATCACAGAACAAAATACTTACTACAGATCTTAGATCAAATAGTATAGACTTTAATAAGCTATTTATAGTTTTACATTTTAATTACAAAACCATCAGTGATATAATACTTAAATACTGTTTTAAAAAAATCTTTTGTTATGGATGATAAAATAATAGTATACCAGATGTTTTCAACTGTAAAACATCTAAATTCTTAAAACTTGGCTCAAAATATATACCACAGACCTGGCTGGGTGGGTTAGTTGGTTGAAGTGTTATCCTGTAAACCAAAAGGTGGTCCCTGATTGGGGTGCCTATGGGAGGCAACTGATCAATATTTCTCTCTCACGTTGAAGCTTCTCTCTCTCTATCAATAGAAACATATCCTCATGAGAGGATTAAAAATATATATATCTCTATATCCCACAAACAGGCAAGTAGAGCTGATACATGCATATTATATGCTATTTCTCCCTTCTCATTCATAATAAAATGTAAACAAAAAAGAATTTCCATTTTTTTCTAATAAGAAAAAAGGTACTTTTCCCCCTAAATACTTTGATAGCTGTACCTCATTAGTATAGTCTTGATACTTTGATATTTCTTCTTCAATATCTAAACACTGATTAGTTAGGGATAACAACTGCTTTTTAAGATGAAGCATCTTTCTGAAAACCAAAAAGAATCAATTAATAAGCAATCTAATGAAATATTATTCCTACATAAAATATATAATATACATTAAAATGTGTAATATACAACCAACCACTCATTGCCCCCAAATAGTTTACCTACCTCATCCATTCTTCTGACTTATCCAAAAATGTCTCGTACTTTTTAACACATTCATCTGTGAAGTGGGTCATTGCTTTTGTTGCATGGTAATATAGTTTTTGCCTAGAATTTAGAAATAATCAGAGGCTTAAACCAATATCACTGTTTCTATTTCCAATATTTAAAAATTTTCCAGTATGTAAAATCTGTTTCCTGAAAGTTTTGACTTTAGAATATTTATAAAGGCCAAATGTTTCTAACAGACATTATAGCAGCAAGAGAAGGAGAATGAGAAGGGAGAATGGTAAAAAAAATATTTATTGAATTAAGGTTAAGAAGGTAGTTAAGCCCTAACTGGTTTGGCTCAGTGGATAGAGCATTGACCTGCAAACTGAAAGGTCCCAGGTTCAATTCTGGTCAGGGCACATGCCTGGGTTGTGGGCTCAATCCCCAGTGGGGGTCTTGCAGGAGGCAGCCAATCCATGATTCTCACTCATCACTGATGTTTCTTTCTCTCTCCCTCTTCCTTCCTCTCTGAAATCAATAAAAATATTAAAAGAAAAAAGAAGGTAGTTAAGTCTGTACTCGCCTGTTTTCCATTATCCGCCCTTATGCATTAGAAGCACTTGAGGCAGGAGAAGCCTGCTCCTTTCTCTCACCTCAGTTCCTCTCAATCTGGAGCTAGATAAGTGAGCCTTAGATATGTGGACACAGTAATAATTGTGTAGAGCCAAGATTAAAAGATATTTTAAATTGTAATTAATTTAACATTTAAAAAGAATTACATAAATAACATAATTGAAAATAATTATTAAACATAATCTGGACACTTACTTATCAAATTTGTGGATCTGTTCTTCATTATAAGCTAATCCTAAAAGTAAAAAAATATATTACTTTTGTAAATGTACAATTATAAAATCACACACAGTATTGTTTCTTTGAGATTTCTTTACAAAACCTAAGAGTTTAAAACAGGTGTCACTAGCTTGTGACCCATGAGTTAGATACAGGCCACAAGTGCTTTCATTTGGTCCGTAAGGTGTTAACATTAAAAAGGAGTATTAGCTGTCAACATTTAAAAACAGATTATTTCAAATAAAACCTGTTTTTCTAGCTCTATTCGAGACATAGAGAGACTGGGCAATAAACCAGGTGAATTTAAATAGTGACTCTCCCCTTTGGAGGGGCCGTCTCCTCTCCAGTTCTCCTCAGTCTCCACCGGCCAATTTTATTCTTGCTCTGTGCCGGCCTCTAGAGGTTGTGGAGTCCAAGACCCCTGGTTTGAAATATCCAAAAGGTTGGTTTTAAAAATAATTTTAGTACATTTAATTTCTGATAAAATCAAATTTCTGAAAAATAAGTTAAGCAGCCACCCTTATAAATATACTAAATTTGTTCTTCACTATAAGCTGAATTACAACTAGTAAGTAGGGCTGATTTTATTAGATTAATAAATGGCAAATTTTACTTACTACGTTCTGCTTTGTCTTTTTTGAATTGATAGTAAATCTCTGTGATCCAATTTAACAGGACTTGTAGCTTTTCTACACTGTTTAAGGAAGAAAAACCCAAATAAATTAACTGATTCGATGTGAAAAAGTGTATTATTAATAAGAGCGAAAACTACCAATAAAGTTATAACTTACTGTCTATCTTTTGGTTGAGTGCCTTCTTGATGGGCCCATGTATCTGACAGCAATCCACCTGGAGATAATTTGCTTTCAATATCCTGAAGACTGGTTTCTATTGTTCCCCGAGAACAGGAAAGCTAAATAAAAATCAATGGGTCAGATCCAGATTACCAAAAAATCAGAAGTGATAATCACAGTGCCAATGGAGCCTAAAGTCTTAATCATATTTCTTTATGGATTATTTAAATTCAAAGTCAGAATATACAAATACATTTAATCATTCAATTAAGCTTGTTTCTTTATCTGTAAAATATGGTTAATACTCTATTCAATAATTAAGGCCCAAGGATAAAATGTAGGTAGCCAAGACTGTGCTCTATATATTCAGATGCTAAAAAATATATATAATGTCTATTAAAATAGAAAATGAAAAGATATCTCATTTAAGATCCTGTCCACTTTAAGCTTAGTATTTATTATTTACCTACCACAGAACTAAGCATTTGTAAAATTTTTAAAGAAAGGATAAAGGCCAAACTTAGAGAATAAACATATCTAACTATTAAGGATTCTGACACATACTACTGCTTTTCAAAAAAAGTTTTCAATGGTGGTTTACACTGCCACTAGCAACAAACAGTCATGCCCTTTCTACTGAACTCTTGTCAGCACTGGACCAGCAGCCTCAGCTCACATAGGAACATGCTACAAATGCACACTTTGGGGCCCCACCTGTTGAACCAAAAAAATCTGATTAAGCCTGACTAATTTGAAAGGCACAAACATTACCTTTCTGTTATATCGAATATATATTATACATTTTGCTGTTATTATTGTAAACATCTTTTTCCAAGAGTTTCATTAGGTCTATTGATCTTTAAAATAATTTTTTAAATGTTCTTTGTCTTTTAACTGCAGATTTAATGTTTTCCTAATCAATTTGATTGAGGTATTTTTATTTAAAAAACCTTTATCATGTTTTCTCAATTTGCTTTTTAACGTTTTTTTAACATATAGAAATCTTAAGTTTTATGGTTAAATAGATGTCTTGCTTTCCATGCTTTATGTCTTCTTAAACATTAATATTAAGTATATGTTAAGTAGATACAGAGACAGTGAAGCAACAAACAGACTGTCAAGTTACAGAAGGGAGGATAGGGAGATATGGGGGAGATAAGAGATCAATCGAAGGACTTGTATGCATGCATATAAGCATAACCAATGGACGAAAAACTCTGGGGAGGGAGGGCATGTATTGGAGTGGGGGAGGCAATGTAAGATATGTACACATATAATACCTTAATTAAAAAAAAGAAAAAAAAATTAAAAAAAAGAATATGTTAAGTATACTAATATGCTTTAAGTACCTCATATTCTAAAATATGGAAAATAGTTTATGGATAAAGTTATTTCTTTTTACAGCATTACATAGAAGTGTGCAAATGTCAAGCAACCTAAAAAAACCCAACACTACGGAGATAATAATAATAGTAATTATTATATCCATAATTATTATTATGGCTATAATATTATATGACTAAAAATAATAATAAATTCATTGGCTACAATATTATGTCTATAAAAAGATAGTTTTACAAAAAAAAACCCCAAACTGGAAAATGCTTTTTATTTTATTTTTTATAATTTTTTAAAATTTATTTTATTGATTTTTCACAGAAAGGAAGAGAGAGGGATAGAGAGTTAGAAACATCGATGAGAGAGAATCATCAATCAGCTGCCTCTTGCACACCCCCTACTGGGGATGCACCAGCAACCAAGGTACATGCCCTTGACCGGAATCGAACCCGGGACCTTTCAGTCTGCAGGCCAATGCTCTATCCACTGAGCCAAACCAGTCCCAGCGAAAAATGCTTTTTAATAGTATTATACAAAAAATAACAATTGTCTGCTCACAGGGTAATGATCATTTAATAATATATAAAAAGAGAGCTAAAATAATGCTTGTCAAACTTTAGCAGCATCCAAATCTTATGGAGGGCTTGTTAAAACATGGATTGCTTCCAGTTAAGATGGTGGCACAGGTAAATGTGAAACGATTTCTCTTACAACCACATAACAAATACAACTAAACTATAGAATGCCTGAAATGTGGCTGAATGGAAGTCCTACAACTACGGAATTAAAGATGTCAAATGGAGAGAGAATCCAAGATGGCTGCACAGGTAAACACTTAGCCGCAGCCTCACACAACAATTTAAAAAAATATAACTAAAATATAAAATGGACATTAACCAGAACTACAGGAAAGGCGACTGACTGGAAATACTACAACGAGAAGGAAAGAGAAAACCAGAAGGAAAATCAGAGGAGCTGTAAAAGTCTAAGGTACAGAGACACATTGCGTGCGCGGAGAGGACAGAGCCGGAGGAGGGGCAGCTGAGTGCCTGGCTGGCGTTCCCTAGCAGGAAGGAGATAAAAGCTCCAGACTGTGCTGAACCCCAGATCCGACAGCTCCAGACTGCGCTGAACCCCAGATCCGACAGCACTGAACCCCAGACACATACAGAGGGAATCTGGGCTGTAAGGCAGAAGTTCAGGGGAGCAGCTAAAGGCAGAGCCCTGGAGTCACGCACATTGTGGGCAGAGGACGGACTGTTGACTGTGCTGTTAGACTGCCCTAGCGGGAAGGAGACAAAAGCTCCGGACTGTGCTGAGCCCCAGTTCCGACTGCACTGAACCCCAGTTCTGACTGCACTGAACCCCAGTTCTGGGCGAGAAAGAGCTTCACTAATAAAAAAAAATCTAAAGGAGGCCGAAACTGGTTTGGCTCAATGGATAGAGCGTCGGCTTGGGGACTGAAAGGTCCCGGGTTCGATTCCAGTCAAGGGCATGTACCTTGGTTGCGGGCATATCCCCAGTAAGGGGGGTGCAAGAGGCAGCTGATCGATGACTCTCTCTCTCATTGATGTTTATAACTCTCTATCTCTCTCCCTTCCTCTCTGTACAAAAATCAATAAAATATATTTTTTAAAAAATTTAAAGGAATTCATCATCGCCAAACCAGAATTATATGAATTGCTGAAGGGGGTTCTTTAGGAAGAGGAAGAAAATAAAGATAAAAATTATGAACAACAAATACGTTACCATCAACAAGTGAATCTAAAAACCCAGGGAATTAAAAAATCTGATAAATAGCCGAAACCGGTTTGGCTCAGCGGTAGAGCGTCAGTCTGCGGACTGAAAGGTCCTAGGTTTGATTCCAGTCAAGGGCATGTACACTGGTTGCGGGCACATCCCCTGTAGGGGGTGTGCAAGAGGAGCTGGTCGATGTTTCTCTCTCATCGACGTTTTTAGCTCTCTATCTCTCTCCCTTCCTCTCTGTAAAAAATCAATAAAATATATTTTTTTAAAAATCTGATGAACAATATTAATTGGTGAATATAATAGAATCAGAGGTATGGAAGGGGAGTGAACTGACGATTCTCAGGGAAAAGGGGAGAAGGGTGTGTGGGAAGAGACTGAACATAAACTGTGCACCTATGGATGAGGACAATGGGGGGTGGGGAAAGGGCAGAGGGTGGGGTGGGAACCTGGTGGAGGGGAGCAATGGAGGGGGGGAAAAAAGAGGAACATTTGTAATAATATGAACAATAAAGATTTATTTATAAAAAAATAAAAACAAGCAAATATTGGGGAAGACAATTTTTTTCTTAACTTTTATTTGCTTTATTCTATATGATTAAAAAAATTTTTTTGACCATGACATTCACTTTACTTTAACTCTGTATCACTTAAATGTGTGTGTGTGTGTGTGTGTGTGTGTGTGTGTGTGTGTGTATAACTGAACTGAGTTTCTTGAAACAGTAATTTCTTTATCATATGTGATGCATGCTAACACTTTCTATTCCATTTAAAAACACACTTAACTGACTGCAACACACTTAACAACTTACAACCTACTAGTTGTTCATGACTCATATTTTCAAAATCACTGTCCTAGAATATAAAATTGAAGGGAAAAACAAAACAAAACTAAAAATCAGCCTAAGCTTAAAAAGAGAAAAGGGGTACTATATCAAGTTCTTTTTCCTTTTAAACATCCATTTCATGAAAGAATATTTCAAATGCTAAAAGTTTGCAGGAGTATAGCATTTTTATTTAATCTCATTTAATTGGCACAACAGGATAAGAAACTGCATATTTTAAAGAAAAAGAAAATAAGGAAGCAAAGAATTAAAGGCCTTGCTTAAGTCACCAGCCAAGAATAGCTAGGCAATCCTGGGGTTAGTAATCAGTTCTTTTATAACACATTATAATAAGAGATCCAGAAACTACCTCAAATGCTACTGTATTTTTCAGTAGAAGAGAGACTTTTGTCCTAATTTCTTTAGGTAAAGAAATGATTCCTGCCTTTAGGAACCTAAATCTTTCTTTCCTTACTTTTTATTTTAGAAAAAAATCTGATATTTTCCTAACTTGCATCTAATTCTAAGCAAGTTTAAGTACTCTGTTAAATTACATTTATGGGCTTGCTTTAACTGCCATAGCAACAACATAAGAACATTATCAATTTCTTATGTTGCTACTGGGGAGAGAGAAATGGGCTTAAAGCAAAGCAGGCATTTGGAAACACCATAAAGAATTGCATGGCAGACTCTCTACAGACTGATTCATATGCCTTTCAGCATGACGATTATTGCTTGTCTCATTTTTTTTATTCTTATAAGTATATTTCCAATAGGACATGATCTCACTCATCTAGGGGAAATGGTGAACAACATAGATGGATGAATAAGAACAGACCCAGAGATAAAGAGCCATGGGTCAGACTGTTGGACCTCAAAGGGAGGGTGGGGATAAAAGGGAGAGATCAACCAAAGGACTTATGTACATACATATGAGCCTAACCAGTGGTCAAGGACAAAAGGGGGTGGGGACATTAGTGGGGGGGGGGGGGATTGGAATAGGGGGTTGAGAACAAATATGTGATACCTTAATCAATAAAGAAACTTTTATTTATTTTTTTTTAAAGAAAAGAATTGCATGGCAGAAAGGGTATTTAAATATTATAAATAATTCCTAAAAACAGGAAAAGAATACTTTAGGTATCCTTTAGGTACATCATCTCTCTGGCAAAATTTAGATCTATTCTTACCAGCAAAGAAATTGATTATGAGCCTATGATTGTTACCATTTTGTAAATACTTACTCTTAACAATTTGGTCTGTATGTCTGAAATTTCATCTAAGTCTGTTGCTTCTAGATTGTTTTTCAACTTTTCATATCTGTGTGAAAACCAAGTATGGAAAAATTAAATGAGTATATAAATAAATACACAGATTTTTAATCTAAAAAAGAATTTTTATAAATTACATTTGAGTCATTATCATCATCATTTAAGAATAAAATTCTGAATACAAAATTTACTAAGCAATAGATTTCAAGAAAACTTGATGTCTTTGTAAAGAAGGAATTTTATATACTTCTACTTATAAACTTGTAGGTTAAAAGATAAAATATTAGACAACTTAAATTTCATATAGTCTTATGCCAGAATTAATAGTGGTCAATAGTAAATTGTTTCCTATGCAGTACAAATATTAGGTCTAGTAATAATTAATGTCGTTTTCTAATACTTTTTTAAATCGAATTTATTTAAACAATACAACAAAATTTAATCAACAATATAGATGCCGTTGTTTTCTACTACTTGTGCCCAACGCTCAGGAAGCATTTTAATCCCTCTGTTGTAAAATTCTTGTGATTTTGATGCAAAAAATTCGGTCAATGCATTTTTGAGGCATTCTTCATTATTAAATTTTTTTCCAAGAAGAAAGTTTTGCAAAGAACGAAACAAATGGTAATCGGAAGGGGCAATATCAGGAGAATATGCAGGTTGAGGGAGAACTTCCCATTCCAACTGGCGCAGTTTTTCAGCAGTGATTCTTGCAGTATGCGGTCGTGCGTTATCGTGGTGAAGAATTACGACCTTCTGATTAATCAGCGCGGGTTCTTTTTCTCTTAAAGCTTGGGCTAACCTTTCCAATTGGGCACTATACACTGCACTTGTAATGGTTTGGTTAGATGGTAAAAGTTCATAATGAAGAATTCCTTTAAAATTCCACCAAACACACAACATCACTTTTTTCGCATGCAAGTCAGGTTTTGGCGTGGGCTGCGGAGCCTCATTTTTGTCCAACCATTGAGGCCGCCTTTTCAAATTAACATACAGCACCCATTTTTCATCTCCAGTAACAATTTGCTCTAAAAATGGCAAACGGTTTTGACGAGAGAGGAGCGAACTGCAAATTGTGACTCTTTGATTACGGTTGTTGTCGGTCAACTCATGAGGAACCCATTTTCCAAACTTTTGGACTTTGCCAAGTGCACGCAATTGATTGGAAATTGTTTTTTGTGAACAATTTAAAGTTGTCACAAGCTCTTGTTGGGTAATTTGAGGATTTTGCACCAAAAGAGCTTGAAGAGCTTCTTGATCAAAATTGGACACACGGCCTCGACCACTCTTGTCATCTAACGAAAAATTTCCCTCGCGAAATTTCTCAAACCAACGCTGGCATTTTCTGGCGCTTACTGCATCTTGACCAAGAGCACTACAGATGTTTTTTGCAGCCTCACTTGCTTTTCTTCCTAATTGGAACTCATAAAGCATGCAGTGCCGAATATGCTCTTCATCTGCCATCTTCTTAGCCCTAGTTTTGCAACAAAAACCAAACCAAACACAAACTTTTTCAAGCAAAACTTGTTAATTGCACTTCACACGTTCTGTAGATACCACGTGTTTGAAGGTTATGTCAATACAAGTCAATGCCAAGCAAGATTTTAAACGAATGTTTGAAAACGACATTAATTATTACTAGACCCGATAGTATAGCTTATGAAGAGGGTAATTTAAAAATATTCTGTTTTAAAAATCATTCTCAGGGATAAGCTTAGCAAAGTAAACCCCAAATTCTAAAAATACCACAAAACTACAATTCTAGAATACTTCTTCCTATTTCCTTTGTTGATTGCAGGTTTTTTATTTTCCTATTCAGAGCATCTGCTTTGCAAGGTTTAACAGGAGATGTTTCTTTTCCCTAACAAAGGAAATGAGAAATGCTAACAGAGATGGTGTTCATTTCTTACGGAGACAACCGGTTATTTTTCTGCCATTGTGAGGTAGAAACTTAAACTAAGGTAGTGCCTTAATACAAACATTTGCATAGCATGCAATATGTGTCAAGGATAATTAAACAAGTTAAACAAAATGTAACAATATTTAACATTTTAACAACTATTAGTTAAGGAAATAACCTACTCACACTTTCATACTTTGAATGCTTCTGAGGCAGAATTCCAATGTGATCACAACTTCTGTCTTTTTGTGAACAGTTTCATTATAATCATCTTTAATTAATTCTCTAAAAAAAAAATTCTCATTAGTATATCGAAGGAATTATTTGTTTTCTCTTGCCTACCACTAATTACACTGCTGTCCTTCTGTTCAAATTTCTTAACAGTCTTGATATATTTATGAGAGCCAATTCACTTTTTATTATTAAAAACATTTCTTTGAGTCTTATACATATCTAGGGCATAAACCATTACTACATATTAGGTTAACAATTTAGAAACCCAAAGCATTAATAGATTAAAAATAAAAACTAATCTACAATAAAAAGAAATAAGCTGAATAGCATTACACTGTATACGACCAGAATTTTTACTACTCATAGTAGACTGCTGTTCAATTTCTACTTTAAATCAAGATAACCTCTCAAGAAGCAGCATGACATTCTATCTAATAAAAGGGTAATATGCAAATTAACCATCATTCCGCTACAAGATGGGGGCACCCAGTCCCTTCAATCTCACCAGAGTCCCCCAGTCCTGGGGGAGCTGCCGCTAAAAAGCCCCGGCTGCAGAGGGTCTCTGAAGGACAGGGAGGCTGGCCTGCAGCCTCCGTAGCCAAGTGTAGGCCCGGCAAGGAGACAGCAGGCCCACCTCCCACGGAAGCAGCAGGGCTCCCTCCCAGAGCCCATGCTAGCTTCCGCCTTCTGCGGATGCCGCCCGGCTTCGGGCTCCCATAGAAACAGCGCTGCGGTTCCCAGCCTACTGCTCGCAATATCGCACAATAGGCTACTAGCAGTAAATAATATAATTGAAGGGCGTTTGGTTTACATCAAGGGTCAACAAACTATGACCTGACGCTCGTTTTTACTAAGAAGAGTATTTGCATGTTAAAGGTTATAAAAACAAAGAGACCTTACTAACTGAAAAAGAAGTTTACCAACAGTGGTCTACATTAAAACTATTTTCTCATGACTTAATAAACTAAAAGCTCAAAAGTGAAAGGAGTAAAAGCTTCAGGGAGCAGTGATTAGAGTAGGTAACAAGGGCAAGAGAAACGAGAGCTGTTAATAACAATACTGTGAAGATAAATGGAGTCAACACTTATTTTTCTCCAGAAACTACTTAGTAAAAGCAAAGAGGCTTCTTAATGAAAAGAGAAAAACACAGGCTTATGAACACATAAAAAAAAAATATAAGCACACATTTTGGATTAAACATAAAGTAAAAGGGGGAAAAGAGCCCTTTTCCTCCTTAGAAGCAGCAGCAGAACAAGAACGATGATATGGCAGGGACCGGTTTGGCTCAGTGGATAGATTGTCGGCCTGCTCGGGTTCGATTCTGGGCAAGGGCATGTACCTTGGTTGCGGGCACGTCCCCAGTGGGGGCTGTGCAAGAGGCAGCTGATCGATGATTCTCTCTCATCGATGTTTCTAACCCTCTATCCCTCTCTCTTACTCTGTGTGAAAAAATCAATGAAAAATATATTAAAATAAAGAAAGAACAATGACATGCTTTATACATGTTTTTGCAAGAAGGGAAGGCTAGGTATGAGGTGGGCACACAGAAGCTGTTACATGCATTTAAACTGAAGAACACTAGGAGCCCAGAGAACATGAGGCCATTACTGTGGGTATGTAACATTCAAAAACTTCAAATGATGTTGTATAGAACTAGTTATGATTCTTAAAAGACACCATTTATTCCCCATTTCTATCAGAAGCAAAGATGATATCTACAAATCATGAAAAGTTAAAAATAGGTCATTTTCAAAACATTTCCTAGTGTCACTTTTAGGGGGAACATACTGAACTAGATGATCAGTATGTTGACCCAGAATAACTATGTTAAGTGACTTAGTAAAAAACAAAAATTAGTTTTTAAATTGCTTGTCAAGGTGATTGTGTGCTCATAGCGTATGCTTTCATTTATAAAATGAGAACAGGCAAATCTACAACAACAGAAAGTATACTAGTGGCAGCCTAGGGCTAGGAGGTTATAACAAAAGTGGGGAGTGGATGGGTGCAGGTTTCTTTTTGTGGTGACAAAAATTAGGGGTGATGACTGCACAACTCTGAATATATAAAAACAATCACTGAATTGCACATTTAAAAAAATGGGTACATTTTATAGCATGTGAATTATATTTCAATAATGCTGTGTTGTTGTTTATAAAGCTGAGTATATACTTTACTTAGGAAAAAGGCAGGAAATAGAGGGATATTCTGAGGACAAAAACCCTGGAAGTACAGGTTGTACTGGATTACAATGATGACTAAGTCTTCCAAGACAATAAAATGACAGCTAAGTTAAGGTCCTCAGAAAAGGAATTCATTTGCCATCACATAGTAAATGTAGTATAAATTTTCAAACTCAGATATCAATATCTTGTCTCACATGGTTATTAAAATCATCAAATGAATCAAATAGCTGCTAAATGTTTTATAAACTAAATGTGAAACAAAATATAATAAAATCAAACAGCTGACCCAACCTAGTCTGAAGAAATGGGTGGTTACCAGTTATTTAGTGAGGTCTATGTGAGGATCAACTTTTAAACTTCCACTTGTTACTTACATCAACCATCGTATCCCCTTTCGCATCAATTCCTGATAAAGCAGCAAGGTACTGGCAATTCTACAGGCATAACACACAACTCCTGTAATTGCCTAAAGAAGAAATGCAAAATGTTATTATTTGATGCTAACTATGGTACAGGGTAAGAAAACCTTTTACATAAAAATTTTCAAACATATTTTTAAAAACACAATTAAATACCCATTTCTAAAAGCTAAGAATATATATAACTGCAATGAATATTTCATCCTTAATGTTCTGATAATGTTGAACATGCACTGCCTCCATGGAGAAAGTTTTCTGTGAATTAAAAAAAGGCTATAAAGTCAAAAAAGAAAGAACACAAAATAATTTGCAATGGGTAACAATTTAGTGAATGATTTCCTAAATCAAATAGGCATATATATATATATATATATATATATATATATATGTAATACATTTTATTGCTTCCACTATTGATAAGATAATTTGAACTCAGATGTTTATATAGTAATTTAATTAAATCTAACCTTAGAGAGAATCCAAGATGGCTGCACAGGTAAACACCTAGCCGCAGCCACACACAACAATTTCAATAAAATACAACTAAAATATAAAATGGACATACCCAGAACTACAGGAAAGTTGAGAAGCAAGGAGAAGCAAGGAGAAAACCAGAAGGAAGCGCGGAGGAGCTGTAAAAGCCTAAGGTACAGAGACACGCAGTGCGCGCGGAGAGGATGGAGCCGGAGAGGAGGGGGAGGCTGAGTGCCTGGCTGGTGTTCCCTAGCGGGAAGGAGATAAAAGCTCCGAATGTGCTGAACCCCAGTTCCGACTGCTCTGAACCCCAGTTCTAGGCCAGACCCCGGGAACCCAGGCTCAAACAGAGGGAGCTGGACTACGAGGCGGGACCCCGGGGGAGCAGCGAAAGGAGGTCCCGGAGGCGCGCACAGTGCGGGCAGAGAAGGGACGGTTGGCTGTGCCGTGGTCTGCCCTGGCGGGAAGGAGACAAAAGCCCCCGACTGCTCTGAACACCACCTCCAACCCCACTTCCAACTGAACTGAACCCCAGTTCTGGGCTCATTGGGGGAGAGCCTAGACTGTTTGGTAGCAGGCGAAACTCGAGGGCACCTTTCTCTCAGAGGTGCTGGCAGCAAGTACTGAAGGACCCTGGGGATTACTGAGACTCAAGAGCCACATAGGGTGTGGCTGACGGAAGCCAAGGCTGTAGGTTCCACCCTGAAACCCCACCCCATCAGGGAAGCTGCGAAAATGCCAAGACAACAAAATAGATCACAAACGAAAGAAATGGAGGACAAAAAGCGACTGGATATAGAGTTCAAAACCACACTTATAAGGTTAAGAATCTCCTGGAAAAGGCCGATAAAATAAACGAGACCTATGAGGATATGAAAAGGGATCAACTAGAAATAATAAGGGATCAACAAGAAAAAATACATTGTCTGAAATAAAAAATATTATACAGAGTCCTAAAAACAGAATGGAAGATCGCAAGAACCAAGTCAAAGATATGGAACAAAAAGAGCCAGAAGACACTCCTCCACAGAAGCAAGAAGGCAAGAGAATCCAGAAAATTGAAGATAATGTTAGAAACCTCTGGGACAACTTCAAGCGAACCAACATCAGAATTATGGGGGTCCCAGAAGATGAGAGAGAGCAATATATTGAAAACATACTGAAAGAAATGGTGACAGAAAACTTCCCCCACCTGGTGAAAGAATTAGACTTACAAGTCCAGGAAGCGCACAGAACTCCAAACAAAAGGAATCCAAAGAGGACCACACCAAGACACATCATAATTAAAATTCCAAGAGCAAAAGACAGAGAATATTAAAAGCAGCAAGAGCAAAGCAGGTAGTTACCTATAAAGGATCACCTATACGACTGTCAGCTGATTTCTCAACAGAAACCATGCAGGCCAGACGGGCAAGAAATATTCAAGGTGATGAATAGTAAGAACCTACAGCCAAAAATAATCTATCCAGCAAAGCTATCACTCAGAATCGAAGGTCAGATAAAGAGCTTCACTAATAAAAAAAAGCTAAAAGGAGTCCATCACCACCAAACCAGAATTATATGAATTGTTGAAGGGGGTTCTTTCGGAAGAGAAAGTATAAAAAGATAAAAATTATGAACAACAAATACGTAACTATCAACAACTGAATCTAAAAACCAAGGAAATTAAAAAACAAACAAACTGATGAACAATATTAACTGGTGAATATAATAGAATCAGAGGTATGGAAGGGGAGTGAACTGACGATTCTTAGGAAAAAGGGGAGAGGGGGATGTGGGAAGAGACTGAACATAAACTGTGCACTTATGGATTAGGACAATGGGGTGTGGGTAAAGGGCAGAGGGTGGGATGGGAACCTGGTGGAGGAGAGCAATGGGGGGGCGGGGAAGAGGAACATTGTAATAATATGAACAATAAAGATTTATTTAAAAAATAAATAAATAAAAGGAATAAATAAATAAATAAATACTAACCTTAGCCATGCTAGCATCTCCATCTAAGTCATAACGTGGATGTACTTTAGGGAGAGAAACTGAAACATTAAAATAGTTAAAATTAGAAATAGAGAATTTTGAGTAAATTATTGTATCTTTCATACAGTAACCTCTAACTTCAACATTAACCTTTAAATTAAATTAAACATAGTGACAAACTATAATGTTCTTTCCCTGGTTAAAAAACAATGACAGTCTGGCTGATGTGGCTCAGGGGGTGGGCATCCTCCCATGAACCAAGTGGTGGCAGGTTCAGTTCCAGGTCAGGGCACAAGTCCAGGTTTTGGGCTCAATCCCCAGTAGGGGGCATGCAAGAGGCAGCAGATCTATGTCTCCCTTTCTCTCTCTCTCTTTATCCCTAAAAGAAAATAAAAATCATAAAAACATGTTTAAAAGAACAACAACACTTGAAACAATGCTGCTCATCCTGTAACAAATTACCTACAATATTTCTAAGGAATTTCATTTTTTCCTTGAGTATATTCCAACACAACCAGCTCAATGCCTCTAAGTTGAAATAAAATCCCAAAATCCAAATAGAAATGTAAAAATCTGGATAGTTTTTGTTTTTTTTTTCAAGAGTTAATAATTAAAAAGACTCCAAAATGCAGATCTAATTTTTCTTAGTCCCTAAAGCCTGGCAAAGTGTCCCATTCACATTAGGCACAAGAAATATTTGCTGAAATTTATGGTACAAAAGGTTATTTTAAATATGAGTAAAATACTAAAAGCAGAAAGCTACAGTGAAACATATGACAAATTACTTTACCACTTTATGAAACAAAATATTTAATATTAAACTGTATTTCACCTACAAGACTTTTAAATTTTACTAATTTTGTTCAACTAATTTATAAAATTTTAATGTTTATGAAAGGTCTACAATGTCACCATCAATCAACTTTATGAATAATTTTTACAGGTTTTTTTGTTTTGTTAATCCTAACTGAGGATATTTTTTCATTGATTTTTCTTTTTCTTTTTCTTTTTTTCAGAGAGATTGGAAGGGGTGGGGGGGGAGAGAGGGAGAAACATCAATGTGAAAGACACATCAACTGGTTGCCTCCTACAGAAGCTCTGAGCAGGGTGGGGGATGAACCTGTTACTCAGGTAGCTGCCCTTGAACAGGAATTGAACCTGTGACCTTCTGGTGTGAAGGCTGATGCTCTAACCACTGAGCAACTGGCCAGGGCCAGTGTTGGTTTTTTTAATGGCTAATAAGAACAAGAAAAATCCCAACTTACTTTTTTCATATTTCAATCCTATGGTATTCAGAGGTTCCCGGCTTACTACAAAGATAGGATTTTCCTCAGTAGTCTTAGGGAAATGCTGTACTAGTCTTCCAGGTTCTAGAACTAAGCGGCGTCCTTCATATATAAGTTCTTGATTTGCAGAAACAATTTTGGTTTGTTTAAACACCAGTTCATGAAATACAGTAGCACTGTGTGAGAAAAATCCAAAAAGACAACATAACTGAGATAAAGAGATGAAGTCTTTTTTAAAATGACTGAGTACAACATCCATTTCTAGTGGTACTTCAGATCAGAACCAGTCCACAGAAACTCTACTTTGTTGATGTGAACACTACAAAGTCTATTAAACTAACAATTTAATCTACATTGTCTACACAGCAATTCTAAAATATTTCTGTTTGCATACATATACTGAGTATGCACAATACACAGGGTTCTTAATATTTAATAATGGGGAGCCAACATAGCAGAGTTTAAGAGCAGTGGCTCTGAAATCAGACAGAGTTTGAATTTCAGTTATTCCATTTATTTGCTGAGTTATTTTCAGTTACTCCTCTGCTCGGTTTCCTCATGTGTAAAATGGGAGTAACAGGACCCACCTCACAAATTTGTTGTGAGGACTAATATATAAAGAACTGAAAATAGTACTTACAACTTCATTACATATTTGTTAACTCATTAATAAAACCAGGTATTTTCAAAATGTTTTTTGGAAAAAGCTAGATTCTTTCAAAATAGATTCATGAAATCAAAGTAACGTTTCAGCAGCAATGTAACGATTTGTCTCCCTCACATGCCTTTGCTAAGATTAGCTAAGGCTTGGGTGAGTGTGTGCGTGTGTATATATATAATATATAATATATATATATATATATATATATATATATAAAAAGGTGACCAGATCATCCGGCTTTTGGTAGGACAGTCCCGATTTTTAATGATTTTTTCCTGCGTCCCGCAGCTTTTAAAAAAAGTCCCGATTTTTGGAAAGATCTTTCCAATCTTTTCAAAAATTGGGACTTTTTAAAAATGCTGTGGGATGCGGGAAAAATTGTTAAAAAAAAAAAAAAATATATATATATATATATATATATATGCATCTAGGATTATATATATATGTGTGTGTGTGTGTGTGTGTGTGTGTGTGTGTGTGTGTGTGTGGTGTGTGTGTGTGTATGTATATATGTATATATGAACATTTTTATTGTTTTCAGAGAGGAAGGGAGAGGGAGAGATAGAAACATCAATGATGAGAGGGAATCACTGATCTGCTGCCTCCACACACCCCACATTGGGAATCAAGCCCACAACCCGGGCAAATGCCCTGATCAGAAATCGAACTATGATCTTCTGGTTCATAGGTTAACACTCAACCACTGAGTCACACTGACTGGTCTTGGTTGAGCTTTTTATCCTCAATAGACTTTTAAAATGAAATTGTGGCCAACACCTAACTATAATACTTTATTTAGGCTATTAAGTACCAAAACAAAGGTGCATGTTATACTTTAATGTTATAATATTATTTAATATGTTTATATTAGACATAGATATTAATATCTAAAATATTTTATTTAATTAATGTTATTTCTTAATAAATTACCAGTAAAAGTCTCTTTTTGAGTTTTATGAGACATTAAATATTGAGTCTGTCAAAACAAAAACCAAGGTATATAAAATAGGTGCAATTTTTTTCCTTCACTTAAAAAATTATATGGAGATCACTAGTGATTTATATGTAGTTGTAGAAAATAATAGAGAGAGAGGCTACATATATGCCCTTCACACAGTTTCTCCCAATGGTAACATCTTGCATAAAATACAGTACAATACAATCAGGATGTTGATACTGTTGATGCTGACCCACCTATCTTACTCAGATTTCCTCAGTATTACATGTAAGTGTGTGTGCATTTCCTTATGTGCAGTTTTATCACAGATAGATTTTTTTATGACATGGTAAAACAAATTATTTCTCCAGCACCCAATAAGGGTTTTGTGCAACATATACAAACAATAACTACACTAACTATATTTAAGACATGTGCTTTAATATTTTTTTTATATGACAGGGCAATACTTTAATGAAACCTGGCCTATTTATTGATAGGTGTTATTTATGGTTATGGGATTATATAATTTGAGAGAAGACATACAAACAAAAATATTCTTGTAAAACTTGCAGTTTAAGACCAAGTTAATTTACTATAAATCTTAGAAAATGAGTCCTTTATTCCAAAAGGAATTTACTAAGCACTTAAATGTTATTCTCTAAGTGGGAAGTGGGTGCCTCTGGTGAAGTTGAGGTACCTTTTCTATTTTTTCTCCTAATTTATGAAGATTATTATATAACAACATTATCATCTAGGAAGAAAACATAAAGAGGTACTTACGTATTATAGCTATGAATATAAATCTTATGAGCTGTCATTTGTTGTAGTGAGAAAACATGAATTATCATCCGGTGAAGTATATCACTAGTTTCTGCAAAAAACTGGTCAAAACCCCAACACTTTTCCTGATCAGCCTCAAGGATATTTGCCAGGACTGGGGTAAGTAGAACTTGAAGACCCCTAAAAAAGTATTAAAAAAATTTGAAGAATGAATGTGTATTTGATCTAGGTACAAAATCATAATATTTACTATTAAATCAAAGGAATTATTTATTAGATTAGACCAAAGTTTTTAAAAATCTGCCAACTTTTCAAAAAGCCAGGTAACCTTAATTTATTACTCATCAATAAATCAGGGATTATGGTATTTTTATGTTAATTTATCTTTTATTGGTTATTTTCTTTGATTCTCTCATTCCCAAGTTTCCTCATTTTTCAAACACATTTTAACATTGTATATACAAAACCATCCAGGTGAAATCAATTGATTTGAATCAGGTGATCATGAGGGTAAGATAATTGTTTAATTTCAAGGTTTATAATGTCCTTTGTTTTTTATTGATTTTTTTTTTTTTTTTTTTTTTTTTTTTTTTTTTAAGAGAGGAAGAGGAAGGGGTAGAAACACCTTGAGAAACATCAACATGGATTGGCTGACGCCTGCACACCCCCTGGTTGGGATCAAGCATGTGCCCTGAAGGGGAATCGAACTAGTGACCTCTTGGTCAACCACAGAGTCATACTGGCCTGTCATTCTTTATTTTTTAATGTCCTATTAATACGGCACTACAATATATAATTTTAAAGGCTGAATTTATATGCCTTTTATAGTATACTTCTGTGAATGAAAAGGGGCTATGCAATAAAGCTGGCAAGCTCAGTGGGAGCACATGGCAGGCCTGGCAAACTTAGGGACCAAGAGAAATAACCACAAAGGATGGCCTGACCACAAATTTCTAACTGGGAAAATCATAGCGAGTAGTCACGTCACAGGCCTATAGCTTCCATAGCAAAAGTTAACTTTACCTTAAGTGAGCTTTGTCTATTGTTCTTATGCATCTAGGATAACATACCTTTGAAATGTCAGAGTACGGTAATTTTGTTTTCCCACTCTTTTTTTTTTTTTTTTAAATATATTTTATTGATTTTTCACAGCGAGAAAGGGAGATAGAGAGCTAGAAACGTCGATGAGAGAGAAACATTGACCAGTTGCCTCTTGCACACCCCCTACTGGAGATGTGCCCGCAACCCAGGTACATGCCCTTGACCGGAATTGAACCTGGGACCTTTCAGTCTGCAGACCGGTGCTCTACCACTGAGCCAAACCGGTTTCGGCTGTTTTCCCACTCTTGAAGCCACTACTGCGGGCACCAGAACACATGACCCCCTCACTGTTATTTTGTTCCCTGCATGCCATCTCTACATGCTGTAAATGTTAACTATTAAATATCCTGTACCCATAAGTGTAAAGAAAGTATGTTTCTCCATTTTGTCTTTTATCCAATCCTAGAGATTTCTCTGCTATGCTTTCTCCCACTTCCTTCATCTCTCACCAATGGATTTCATGCACCCTCCTGAGGTCTTCTCATTTGATTCTAGTATATAAAATAAACTGGAAAGCTGCCATTCTCCAGAGCATTTGAGATCCTGCTCCTCAGCATATGTGATCAGTTTGGCACAAATTAGTTTCTTACATTGACACTTCTTTAGGCAGTAAAATTACTATAATCAGCTAGCAATCAATTAGTGCCAATTCAATTATGAATAACTTTTGACTAATAAAGTATATTTTAAAAAATGAACAGAAGGATGTTATTCTTTCTCTGAATTATAAAATACACTCAAAAAGATTCTCAATTATGTAATTTCAAATAGTTTTAAAAATATATTCTTGACTATGTAATAGGCCTTGTCTGTGAACAATTTTCAAAATATGTAGTGAACATTAAAAATTTTTGCCCAATAGGTATATATGTTCCCTCCTTTTGTAAGAGAATCTATACCTCTCTATTCCTTAACTCTAATCCCTGGGAAAAAAGATGGGTATAAAAGCCAGGTTTGGCTGTAGTTGGTTTGGCTTAGTGGATAGTCCAGTCAAGGGCACATGCCTGGATTGCAGGCTCCATCCCCAGTAGGAGGCAGGAGGCAGCCAATCAAAGATTCTCTCTCATCATTGATGTTTCTATTTCTCCCTCTTCCTTCCTCTTTGAAATCAATAATAATAATAATTTAAAAAGCCAGGTTTGGTATGATTAGTTGGAGGTGGTCAGGTGGTAGCATATAAGTTAGTTAAATGTGAATCAATGCCAAAAATCTTTGCTAAAACTACCAGGAAAAAAAATCCTTTATCCCCCACTGAGTTTTCAAAGCTGTGAGAATGTGAGTCTAGGAATGTGAGCAGCCTTCCTGTGGCTCTCAGGAAAGAGCCTGCTGGAGGGAAGGAGAAAGCAGATAAAAGCAGATCTGAACAATTTGAAAGGACCAAGTCTTGACAGAGCCCGAGTCTGAGGATTTAGCTGAGCTTTGAGTCACATACACATGTGTAGTTTTAATTACAAAGTCAATTTTCCTTCCGCTTAAACCAGTTGAATTAGGTTTTTCTCACTTGCTATTCAATCTTGACAAATATAAGAAAGAGGATGGTTATCTTTTTTTTTTTTTTTAAAGGAATGCTTATTTTATTCTATTTTCATTCATCCTCATCTGAGAATATCTTTTCTATTGACTTTTATAGAGAGGAAGGGTAATAGGGAGGGAGGGAGAAGAGAAACATTGATGTGAGACATATCCATTGGTTTTCCCAGGAGGTGGAAGGGGGGGAGGCTGTGTGTGGGGAATCGAGCCTGCAACTGAGGCACGTGCTCTTGATTGGGATTGAACCCTAATTCTTCAGTCCACAGGCTGATCTTCTAACCACTGAGCAAATCAGCTAGGGCAGGACGGTTATCTATTTTTGCAGTCATTACATTTTTGGTAGTTGTTTTCATTGCTAATTAGTAATACTTAATATCCTTACTATTAAAAAAAAAATTGTCTGACTGGTGGGCTCAGCGGTTGAGCCTTGACCCATGAACCAAGAGGTCACTGTTTCAATTCCGTCAGGGCATATATCCAGGTGGTGGGGTTCAGTAGGGGGCATGCAGGAGGCAGCCAATCAATGTTTCTTTCTATTTTTCTCTTTCTAAAAAAATTAATAGAATATATTTAAAGGGGAAAAAAAGCCCTAGCCAGTTTGACTCAGTGAATAGAGCGTCAGCCCATGGACTGAAGGGTTGTGGGTAAGATTCCAGTCAAAGGCATGTACCTTGGTTGCAGGCTGGATACCCAGCTCAGTGTGGGTGCATGTTGGAGGCAACCAATCAATGTGTCCCCTCTCCTACTTCTCTCCTTACCTTTCACTTTCTCTAAAAAAATCAATGGAAAATATCCTCAGATGAGGATTAATAAAACAAAAACAAACAAACAAACAAACAAAAAAAATGCTTTCTGGTACATAAGCAATTTTTATTAAAGAATGTATAACTTGGTGCTGAAGACTGATTTGATAGATAAATCCTGTTATCCTCTTAAAATATGCAATCCATAGTGTAGATTGTCAAATTACTAATTCTGGGTTTCAGCAATACAATTATTACATAGAAAATATTTATTTCCTAAGTACTTTAAATGTTATGTTTTGCCTGAGATTACCAAAATTAGTATTTTATAAATCAAAATTTAACACAAGTCATTATTATTATATTAAATTTCTTCCCTCCAATAAAATGAATTTCTCTTGGTAATTCTAGTTGTATGACATAATTTTATTTTGGAAACTTAAAAACTATGCAAAAATAAAACTGTCAAAACAGCAGTTTTCAGAAATGATTTTGGCAATGAAATCGTTGGTTTAAATGGCAATGAAGCCATTTGAGTTTTCACAGAAATGAAAGCTGTGAGAATGTGAGTCTGGGAATGTGAGCGGCCTTCCTGTGGCTCTCAGGAAAGAGCCTGCTGGAGGGAAGAAGAAAGCAGATAAAAGCAGATCTGAGCGAATTGAAGGGATCATAAAAGAGAAGTAATATTTTATTAGCTTATGCTATATAAATACATATATAGATTTATATGTTAAAAATCATACAAAAAGAACCCACAAATTATAATAGTAAATCATGTGTGTGTTCACTTGTGGAATATACAATTATCACACTCAGGAAAAATGGCAGTTAATTTATTAATAACAAATTCTACATATTGATGAATGTCTTGGCTTTATCTCCAGAGTAAAACCTAAAATAATTTACTCTCTACTTTTTGTGGTTGTTGTTGTTAATTCTTACCTGAGGATATTTTTTCCATTCACTTTTAGAGAGAAAATGGAAGGGAGGAGGAGAGACACAGAGAGAAAAACATTGATGTGAGAGAGGCACATCGATTGGCTGCCTCCTGCACTGTGCCCCAGCCAGGGCTGGAATGGAGCCCACAACTGAGGCATGTGTCCTTGACCAGATCAAACCTGGGACCCTTCAGTCCACAGGCCATGCTCTTACCACTGACCCAAACCGGCCAAGGCATTTACTTTTAATTTATTTTACTTTAAATCTTTCTTTGTGGTAACAGAATTCATATCTGAGAATATATATATATTTAGTTCTGCTGCTAAATTAAATCCATATGAACATTTGAAATGATGTAAGTTGAAAACTATTCTCACTTTTTAAAAAAATATATTTTGTTGATTTTTTTACAGAGAGGAAGAGAGAGGGATAGTTAGAAACATCCATGAAAGAGAAATATCGACCAGCTGCCTCTTGCACGCCCCTTACTGGGAATGTGCCCACAACCAAGGTACATGCCCTTGACCAGAATCGAACCTGGGACCTTCCAGTCCCCAGGCCAACGCTCTATCCACTGAGCCAAACTGGTTTCGGCTACTTCTCACCTTTTGAGTAATATGAATACTCTTTAAAAATGGGGATATATTAAACTTCTCGAGTGCCTGTTTTTTTAGAATTCTAGTTACTTTTATCTATACATCACTATTTGTGATCTGGCAATATGGAAATTAAGGCAAAAGACACCAAGGCCCTAACCTGGTTTCTCACATTGCACAGAATTCCAAGCAATCTTAAAAAAATGTATGTCCTCACATAGGTCTGGCAAAATTATTTATACATTATAATAGTAATTAATATTTATATCACCACAAAGACAAAAATCACAAATCAAAGCATATGCTTTAATAACATATAATAAAACAAACAACAATGATAAGCTATACACTCAAGTATTTGTGATTTTAGTTAATTAATATTCCAAACACCAAATTGCAAAAGAGGAAATATATACTCACCGAGAAAGACTACAAGAAATAGGCATGTCTCCACTCCAGTCGATTGGTCCATTTTCTGCTTTCTGTACTCCAGATATTGCACCAGAAGGCTTTCCAGTAATTATTTTATACCTAGGGAGGAATAAAAGCAGAATAAAATAAGCAGTTCATTATTACATAGCCTATCAATGGGCTTTGCAATAGTATTTCCCTCAGGTGCACCTATAATGAGGTACTAGACGAAATTTTGTGATTGAGTTCACAGGACCCATAAAACAATCAAAATACTTTAAATCTGACTGACTGAAGTAGAATAGTAGTTGTATGGCTATTTTACATATGCCATAACTAATTTTCATTTGGGATCTCAGAATGCCATGTAACAATATCTTGATGCTCACAACAAAATATTAATTTTTCCATCTGAAAAAAATTGAGCAAACACAAAAGTTATGTTACAGAATGTTTCTAGATCACCATATTAGCCCAGAATACAGTCAATTGGACTATGAAATCCCTGCAGAACAAACAACAGCATTCTGTAAAAAAAAATAATTATACCTAGCACAGTACCCAAAAGATTCTTTGCATACACAGATAGGAATATGTGTATATAAAATTAAAAGTGAAATTTAATTTTTATGTCTTCAAAAATTATTTTTATTGATTTTAGAAAGAGGGAGGGAAGAGGGATAGAGAAATAGAAATACTGATTGGTTACCTCCTGCACATCCCCCACTAGAGATGAAGCCCCATTGGCTGGGCTAAAAGTCAAATTTAATTTGATTTTTGATGAAGGTGATAAAAATAAAGTTAAACTGAAGAAAAAGCTGGATGTCCCAGGTTGCAGGTTTGATCTCTGGTCAGGGTGCATACAGGAGGCAACAGATCCATGTTTCTCTCTCCCTCCCTCTCCTCTCTCAAATCAATAATAAACATTTTTTTTTTTTTTTTTAATAAAGCCAGCACAACTAATTTGGACTGCTTGCTGCTTTCTCAGCAGATGCAGTCAGGATTTCTGCCTTAAGAGATTTTTCAGGAAAGAAGGAAAAATAAGTTGCATCACATAAGAATGATCTGATTATGGACAAATAAGTAGAGATATGTGAGATTAATGTAAGAAAAGAGAAGGAAATACAATGAATGGTAGAATTCTTAAGGAAATGCTTACAAATTCTTGAAAAAGCTTAATGAATTTTGGTAAGCTCCATAAATAAACACATTTATAACACATAAATGAGATATAAAGGGACTAATACTGCTATAATGTGACATGGCAGAGCCATTATTTCTACTTCAGGTACCTCTGAACGTTTATTAGCATGAGTGTGGCTAAAAAGTTGAAATACTTTACAAATAAAGAAAGAAATTCTTCTAACAGTATATCTATCCACACGGTAGTCAGACAAAATCATCAGGTATTCCCAATTATTACACTTATGAGTTTTATTTTTTCTTTATTAGGGAGTGCCTCAGTTTTATTTAATCCATTTTTGGGGCAGCGAGAAATATTGATATTTCTTTAAAACCTATCTCTGACAATAAAAGCATGATTAGCCGAAACCGGTTTGGCTCAGTGGATAGAGCGTCGGCTTGGGGACTGAAGAGTCCCAGGTTCGATTCCGGTCAAGGGCATGTGCATTGGTTGTGGGCACATCCCCAGTAGGGGGTGTGCAAGAGGCAGCTGATCGATGATTCTCTTTCATCAATGTTTCTGACTCTCTCTCTCTCTCTCTTCCTCTCTGTATAAAATCAATAAAATATATTAAAAAAAAAAAAAAGCATGATTAACTGTTAGGCACAATTTTATGTTTTGTGTGTTGAAGTGATAGTCAATGAAACATTGAAATGGAAAAAGAAATCAAATCAGTTCAGGGTAAGAACTGTGATTCTTTTAGATCTGGTAATGATTAGAGTACACAGATTACTAATTTTTTTTTCAGTTATATGAAGGAAAAACCCTAATAAGTGCATAAAAAGAAGTAAATAAATAGTGTACTTAAAGAAAATCCAAAAAGCAGTATATTTTTAATGATGGACTGGATATCATTTATAGTCTATTGTATATAAGATATTTAAAGACAATATAAAAAATTATGCCTATAAATTTTGTAAGGCTGCAAATAGCTTACTAGTAAATCCAGAAATGATGGCTAAATCAATTTTCACTAGCATACACCTCTAATATTTGATGACATAAAATAATATAAAGATACATTTTAAAAATTATTTTTACATTTAGATGGAGAAATCACTTACATCACCTCCTTATTCCTACGTGGCCCTTCAAATGGCCTAAATGGCAGTGACCCAGTAGCTGCATGGTAAAAAGTTACCCCGATGCTCCAAAGATCAACTGTTGCTCCATATTTCTTCTGATGATCTTTTCTTAGCACTGCCCTCTCATACATATCAGGATGCTTAAAAAAGAAAGAAAAAACTAACTTGTGTTCTATGATAATACATAACACAAAAAATAGGTATTCAATAATGCTTAGAAATTTTACTATATTTTCCTAATAATTTCTCTCTAAAAGACTGTTTCAAGTCTTCCTCTCCTCAAACTTCCAACCCTACCTCATTTGACCCTCAATTTTCATGACCTCATTGCATTCGTCAATGAGGAAATGGAAGTAATCAGAGGACCAACTCTCTTTTATACCTTTTACCAAATACCAACCTACCTATACTCTACATCTAATTTCCAGTTACAATGGAACTGCTCTTATCAAAGACCAACTTTTCCATCTGCACTGTGGAGCCATCATGGTTAGACTTTATTCTTATTCTTTTTTTCTTTTCTTTTTCTTTCTTTTTTTTTTTTTTTAAGAATTTAAGCCCCAGCTGGTTTGGCTCAGTGGATAGAGCATCTGCCTGCGGACTAAAGGTCCTGGGTTCAATTCCGGTCAGTAGAGGCATGTAGGAGGCAGGTGATCAATAGTTCTCTCTCATCATTGATGTTTCTATCTCTCTCTCCCTCTCCCTTGCTCTCTGAAATTAATAAAAATATATTTTTAAAAATAAAAAGCTAATAATGTCTACAATTAAAATATTAAATTCCTTTTTAAAAATATATTTTAATTGATTTCAGAGAGGAAGAGAAAGGGAGAGATACAAACATCAATGATGAGAGAGAATCATTGATTGGCTGCTTCCTGCACACCCCACACTGGGGATCGAGCCTGCAACCCAGGCATGTATGATTGACCGGAGTCAAACTGGGGACTCTATCCACTGAGCAAAACTGGTTAGGGCCACAGACTTTATTCTTGTTACAAAATTAAAACAGCAGAATCCAACTGTAAAAAGTCACAGATTCTAAGACTTTTGAGAGAAAACTCAGAGCCATGAAAAATTAGTAATAGCTACATATAAGTTTCCTGATTATGTGTTAAATGTACTTACTTTTAATATTTTCTTAAAAGAGCAAAAAACATTATTTTCTTAAGTGTTCAAATGGTTACCAACCCCACACAAACACACCTATATAAACAGAGCTTTTCTAGCTTTCTACACTTTCAAAATTAGACATTTTCAAAGGCATTTCATTTTTTGTGATATGTTTCTAACAATGGTCCTCTCTGTCTTTCAATAACTAGTTTCCCCAAATAGATTATTCTGCTTCAGAATTATAATGAATTTTGCTCTACAGGGAATATGATTATAACAAGCTTGTACTATATTAGCTATTCTGATCCAAAAAAGGAAGCCTTTACCACCTAGGTGCTTCTGGAGTGAACAGATAGCTTTCCTTTTACTAAAAAATCCATTGCATTAGTAAAATTAAACAATTTAAGAGTGTTATAAAACTTGTAAGAACTTTTAACAGAAAAATGAAAGCACCCTTAGAAACAAATCTCTGATTTCCTCAATACACACCATATTCATCAGATTAGAAAATTTTAATCTTTGTCCTAAAAGTTACAGAACACATTGTATAGTAATTGGTTGACTACCCATATTTACAATATATTCAGCATCTTTAAATAACATTAGTAAGGCATGACTTACCAAATATTCTTCTGTGCCATACAAAGAAACAAACTGCTCATCATCTTCTAATTCTCTAGCTGCACCAAAATCAGTGAGTTTGTATACAGATTGTCCGTCTTCCCCTATAACACGCATGATATTTCCTGGCTTGATATCACGGTGCACTATGCCGTTTTCTCGAAGATGATTCATTCCACCCACTTCAACAATAAATATAAAACAAAGGTAATAATAATAATGTAGTTGTCTATGTTTATATCTGTGCATGTCAAATTCATCAATATAATTCATTCTATTCACTCAATATAAGTTTTTCTGTAAGTCAGCCCCATGTTATTTTAGTCAAAGAATAAGTGGCAGTAGTATTTTGTTATCTCATGCTTAAGTCATAAAAGGCTTCAGAATGATAAGGATCAGTTTAAGAAAGAGTCCAGTCTCCCTTTAGTACCATTAGAGAAATGAAAAAAAAATGATCTTTAAGCATATAACTTCCCGAATTACTTTTGGTTTTAAATCTGGGCAATCTGCCTAAACTTTAGAATAAAGAAAGATTTCCTGCACTGAAGAAGAAACCATCAACAAAACAAAAGTGCAGCCAACAGAATGGGAGAAGACATTTTAAACAATACCTCCAATAAAAGGCTAAAATCCAAAATAATAAAGAACTCACACAATTCAACAACCAAAAAACAATCTGATTAAAAAATGGGCAGACTGCCGATACCGGTTTGGCTCAATGGATAGAGCATCGGCTTGGGGACTGAAGGGTCCCGGGTTCGATTCCGGTCAAGGGCATGTACCTTAGTTGCGGGCATATCCCCAGTAGGGGGTGTGCAAGAGGCAGCTGATCGATGACTCTCTCTCATCGATGTTTCTCTCTATCCCTCTCTCTTCCTCTCTGTAAAAAATCAATAAAATATATTTAAAAAAAAAAAAAAATGGGCAGACGGCCCTGGCTGGGGGGCTGTTTGGTTGCTGCAGGTTTGATTCCTGATCAGGGATCATAGCTAAGTTTCGGGTTTGATCCTGTCTGGGAATATATAGGAGGCAACCGATGAATGTTTCTCTCTCTCCCTCCCTTCCTCTCTCTTTGAAATCAATAAAAACATATCCTCGGGTGAGGAATTGAAAAAAGGGCAGAGGCCTAAACAGACAGTTTTCCCAAAAAGACACATAGTTGGCCAACCAACATATGAAAAGACGCTCAACTTCACTGCTTATAAGGGAAATGCAAATCAAAACCAGGATGAGATGCCACTTCACACCTGGCTATTATCAATAAGACAAAAAATAACAAGTATTGGAAAGGATGTGGAGAAAAGAGAATCCTCCCACACTGCTCATGCGAATGTAAAATAGTATAGCTACTATGAAAACAGGATAAAGTTTGCAAAAAAAAAAAAAAATTAAAAAAAATTAAGAGTAGAGCTACCATATGTCCCAGTAATTCATCTTCTAAGTATTTACCCCCAAACTTTGAAAACACTTATTTCATAAATATATATGTACCTCTATGTTTATTATAGTATTATTGCACATAGCTGAGACTTGGAAACAATCTAAGTGTCCCTCTATGAATGATTAAATAAAGCAGTTATAAATATATGAAATGGATTATTACTTAGCCATAAAACAATGATGAAATACTGCCATTTTGTGACAACATGGATGGATCTTAAGAGTATCATAAGTGAAATAAGTCAGGTGGAAAAGGACAAGAACTATATGATTTTATGCATATGTGGGATATAAAACAGTGAACAAATAAAACAAACTCATAGACACAGCTAATAGAAGGCTGGATTCCAAAGGAAAAGGGAGGTAAGGGGAGGATGAAGAGGGCAAAGAGGGTCAAATATATGATGATGAAAGGAGACTAGACTGGATGGTGAGCACACAGCAATATACAGTGATGTGCTATAGAATTATATACCCAAAACTTACTTATTTTTAATTTTTTTTCTTATTCTACCTGAAACTTGTTTGATGTTATTAGCCAGCTATCCCAATAAATTAAAACGAAAAGAATAGATTCCCAAAAAAGATCAATCTTTCACTACAGTTTCACATATCCTTATCTTAGAGAAATAATTCAACAAAAAAGTAAATTGGACTCACTACATAAAACAGTAAAAAGTATTAGAAAGCGACTCAAGGTGTCACACTTGTAGCCATAAAAATATATTTCTCATATATTTTTCTCATATGGCCTTATTCCTTTTTTTTTTTTTTTTTTAATATTTTATTGATTTTTTACAGAGAGGAGGAGATAGGGATAGAGAGCTAGAAACATTGATGAGAGAGAAACGTTGACCAGCTGCCTCCTGCACACCTCCCACCAAGAATGTGCCCGCAACCAATGTACATGCCCCTGACCGGAATGAAACCCGGGACCCTTCAGTCCGCAGACTGAGGCTCTACCACTGAGCCAAACCGGTTTCGGCATTATTCCTTTTTTTGATAAGAGTAAAGGTGGCTATATTGCTGAAATTAAGCTGTTTTGGTGGACAAGCAGTGTCACTGAACGATAGTTTGAAATATCTGACAGCAGATAGATAATGTCCAAATATAACATGAACCTAAGTTTGGGATATCATTTAATTATGAAAACTCAGGGCCACTAGTATACCTAGGAAGGCATCAATCATCTATAACTTCTATTTGATTAAATAGGCTGTATTATATATTGTTTCTCTCTTATTTTATCCTCATCTAAATGGTTGTCTCCACACTATGTTCAGTGTCAAGTTCAATTCCCACTAGCCCTGGCCGGTTTGGCTCAGTTGGTTGGAGCATCGTCTTGTACCCCAAAAGGTTTGATTCCCGCTCAAGGAACATAGTGAAATGTGGATTCAATCCCTGGTCAGAGTTCCCGAGGGAGGCAACCAATCGATGTTTCCTTCTCTCTTCTTTTAAAATCAATTAAAAGGAAAAAAAATTCCCATTAACTTTATACTTTTATTTATTTATTTTATCACTGAGCTTTTCCCACTCAAATATTGATTCATTTCTTTCCAAGATATTATTCCTTTTGGTTGTCATATTTTTTTAATAACAGCTTTATTGAATGAAATTCACATATCATAAAATTCATCCTTTTTAAAATACACAATTCAGTGGATTTTAATATAGCCACAGCCACAGAGTGTGTAACCATCACCATTAATTTCAGAACATTTTCATTATGCCAAAAAGAGATCCCAAAACCATTACTCACTTCTTAACTATGCTCTCCCTTCAAACCGCTGGCAACCACTAATCTGCTGTTTCTATGGATTTGGCCTCTTCTGAATAGTTCATATAAATAAAATCATATAAATATTGCGGCCTGCTGTGTCTGGCTTCTTTCACTTAGCATAACTTTTCAAGGCACATCTTATTAAAACATGTATCACTACTGCATTTCTTTCTTTTTTAAAATGATTTCAGAGAGAGGAAGGAGGAAGGAGGAAGCGAGAGAAGGAGGGAGGGAGGGAAAGAAAGAGAGACCAACAGGACAAATGGCTGCCTCCCACACAAGCCCTGACTGGGAATCCAACACATAACCTTTTGGTGTAAGGGACGATGCTTCAAATTAGCCACACTGGGCAGGGCTGCATTTCTTTTCATAAACAAATAATATTCCATTGTATGGATATACCACATTTTGCTTATCTATTTATCAAATGGTTGTTTCCATTTTTTTGGCTATTATGAATATTGGTGAACAAGTTTTTGTGTGGATATGTTTTTAATTCTTTTAGGTAAACACATAGCCATGAAATTGTTAAGTCATATAGTAATTCTATGTTCAACCTTTTGAGAAACTGCTGGACTGTTTTCCTAAGTGGCTGTGTCATTTTACAACTCCTCTAGCAGTATATAAAGGTCCCAAATTCTGCACATCTTCACCACCACTTGTTTTGTGGTCTTTTTTATTTTAGCCATCTTAGTGGATATGAAGCGGTAATTTTGGGGGATTTTGATTTTCATTTTCCTAATGACTAATTATCATGAGCATCTTTTTATGTGCTTATTTGCTTGTTGTATATCATCTTTGGAAACATGTCTATCAAATTCTTTGCCCATTTTTAAACTAGATTATTTGACTTTTTTATTGTTGAGTTGTCAGGGTAAAAATTCCTTACCAGATAAAAGATTTGCAAATATTTGCTCTCATTCTATGGGCTGTCTTTTCATTTACTTGATGTTGTCATTTGAAACACTAAAGTTTTTTATATTGATAAAGTCCTATTCATCTATTTTTTTGGTATCATATCTAAGAAAGCATGGCATTAAAAGTCCATAGTTTTTAATGCAAAAAAAATTTGTCATCAAATTATATATATAATTATACATAAAATCATATAAACAAAAAAACATACCCACATCTCGCAAAACAATTAAAAATTCAGACTCTGGTAGTCCATAGGCATTAGATGGCTCTTCTAAAACAGTGTATAAACTCCCGCATGGACAAAATTCCATAATAAGTACTTTATGTCTTGTTGTTGTCTGCAAAAAATAAATCAGTGATTGAAACTCAATATAAAAACTGTTTTTACTATATGACAGTACTTAATCTGATTTTATTTAAATGTGGGATTTGCTACAATGAAGGTACTTTGAATTACTTTACCTGGAATTTGTTAAATATTTGTTGACTGCACATATATAAGAATTAACATCTTATAAATTCCTATTAAAATAGAATTTGTTTTTGAAGACAATCAAGTCACAGTGAAAGCTGGCTAAATCTGAATTAGAGAATTATTGCTCTGATGTTAAAATGGTTCTTTTAAAGTTATCTTTAATTTCTTATACATAATAGTACATGTAGACATTAGCTCTTTTAACAAACCTCTTAAAACACTTGAAGTTTTTCTCATGAAGAAAACTTTTACTTCAAAGAATGAAGTTCTAGCCTTAAAAAAAAGTGGCAGAATAGCTGATCAGTTCCTCTTCCAGCAAACCTCTAATCTGCTCATTTTCATCTGAGCTGCTAATTTGTTTTAAACCTTGATTCTAATGTATCATTGACTATAAGATATATCAATTTAATAACAGCTGTGCAGAGAGAAAGAAATATTATCTACTTTCATATACACATTGATTATAAGATATATGCTATTTCAGAAACTTAAAAATGTAAAAGAGGCTTAAAGGCCAATATTTATTTTCAATTTTTAAGTTCTTTCTTTTATAATTTTTCTACATAACTCCAAAATACTTTTATAAAACATTTTAAATTTCTCTACTATTGAGTAGTTTATAAGAGAAAAATTTTTATTTATTTTTGAAGAATTTTTTATTTTTCAATTACTGTTTGCATACAGTATTATATTGGTTTCAGGTGTACAATTCAATTAGACATTTATATAACTTACAAAGTGATCACCCTGATAAATCTTGTACCCATCTGACACCATTATACATAATTATTACAATACTAGTAGCGCCAATAGATCGCTGCCGTCCTCCTGTGCTCTCAGCCTGATGCCCCACTCTCCTGTAGCTCTCCCTTTCCCCCATCATAGCTTGCTGCTCTGCCCCCTCCTGGAGCTCCAGGCTGCCCGCTTGTAGTTTGCTGCCCCACCTTCCTGCAGATCCCTGGTCTGGTCCTTATGTAGTTGGTTGTTACACCTCAGGGCGTAACAGATAATTAGCATATTCCTCTCTTATTACATAGGATTATTGACTATATTCCCTATCCTGTACTTTACATCCCCATGACTACTGTGTAACTACCTATGTGTACTTCTTAATCCCTTCACTTTTTTCAACCATTTCCCCAACCTCACTTCTTATCTGGCAACAATCAAAATGTTCTCTGTTTCAAGAAAGAAATAATTTTTTTAAATTTGTTTTTAAATAATAAACTATGTTGATTGTTGAAAATTTGAAAAATACCCGTAATTCTATAACCCAGAGATAATTATGTTAATATTTTATGCATTTTCTGTCTTTCATCTATGCATCAAATCATATTATAGATACCTAACACTATATATCATACTGTATATATATCAAGATCATACTGTATATGTATTTTAGTCCTGATTTTCTAACCATAACAAGATACAGAGAAAAGTTCCCAGGTGATTAAAGCTTTGGTAAATATCTTTTTTCTTTATTATTGCTTAGTTGCTGTGTAGTAAAGAATTAACCAAAAGAGGTCTGGCCTTTGTCCTTGGCTACTCACCAGGCCTCTGGAATGTCCTGTCTGCTATTAGTTGTCTTTGTTTCTCTGGAGGCTTTGGCCATATGACAACCTAATAATGTGATTTACGGTGGCGGTTTTAGGTCATGCATATCCTTTCGAACTTCCAGAGGAAATAGAGACTAAAGTATTAGTTTGAATCTTTGGGAAGGCCTGGAGAGTAAAGGTCAGCCATGCAGAGAGAAGGTGACAGCTCCAACTAAAATTTTGAATATCAAAGGTTCAGGTGAGTTTCTAAGGTTGGCAATATTCTGTGCATCCTGTCAACTTAATGTGTTCCTGAGACAGGAAGAGTCACACTGAAGCCCTCCCACATTCCACCTTATGGATCCCTTGTTTTGGCTAGTTCTAATTTGTATTCTTTTGCTACAATAAAACTCTAATTGTAAGTATAGAGCTTTTCTGAGTTCTATGTTATTTAACACTAACAAATTACCAAATCCGAGGACAGCCATGGGAAGCCCGGAATTTGTAGCCAGCTGGTCTGAAGTGAAGGTAGTCCTGAGGTGCCTGAACATGAAGCTTGTGTCTGAATGAGCATAATCCTGTGGGCACTGTTTTCACTGACTGTGCAGTTTGTCAAACTCTCGGTATCTGGTGTCCAAAGTCTTGAACAGATTTGGAAGTCTGGAAGGTTATGTTTTCAACCTTGAGTGTGCCTAACTCCGAATAACTGTCCATCACACATTCTAACCTACTGAACCTTTTTTTATTATAATCAGGGCAGCAATGAACATCTTTGTGCATAAAATTATAATTTAATTTTTAATTACTTTTTAAGAAGTAATGGCAAAAAATAAAATGACTACTATAAGGAGTATAAACCTCTAAATTGTTTTTCAAAAGATGTAATTTATTGACTACCCATGTATATAGGGATTAAAATAGATTTCTATTTCCATTATTTCTAGATAATTATCCTAATAACATCCTTATTTTCACTGTTTCCCCCTAAAATCAATTCTATCTTTTATAATGGACTTCACATATTAGTCCCTGGATTCTTAAGATTTTTATTCCTTTACAAAGCCACCTTACTATTGTTTGACTTTCTCTTTATTCCCTTTAGAATTATGTCAATTTAACTTTCTTTTTTTTATTTTAGTAATATGGTAACAATATTCTATACTCTTTTACTTTTTATACTACTTTTTCTGATTCCATAATACTTCATTTTCATTGTTACAGCTAATCAAGAACCTTTCTTTTTTAATTTTTATCTTTATCTTTTAAATTAATATTTTGAATCCTCACCTGAGGAAGGGAGAGAAAGAAACATGGGTAAGAGAGAGAAACATTAATCGGTTGCCTTCTGTACATACCCCAATTGGGGATTGAACCTGAAACCTAGGTATGTGCCCTGACTGGGAATCAAACCAGCAACCTTTTGGAACATGGGACGATGCTCAACCAACTGAGCCACTTAGGCCGGCCTATTCAAGAATCTTTGAGAATAGAATATTGAATTGTATCAACTCTAATTTGCACCATTAAAAACTCCCCAAACATGCCTATAAAACATTGTTAGGCTATTTCTTCTAAATTATAACAACTATAATAAACATGAGAAGATTAATTAAAACTTGAGTACTTACCTCCTCTTCAATAGCAAATAATTTGACAATATTTTTGTGATTGAGTTTTTTTAACACTTCAAATTCTCTCATTTGAACATCTACTGGACGAAGGAAGCTTATGTTATTAAACACTTTGATAGCATATAAGTCACCAGTTTTCTAAAAAAAAAGAGAGAGAAAGGTTTTACTTATTTATATATTATAAAGAAGATAAAAAGGTACCATTAGAACTAGCTATAGCAAACCTAAATATTTTTAAACATAGGTAGGGCTCCTGATTTTTTTTTAAAGCTACACTAAGTCAATCAATTGTTCAATATTTCTTTCAAATTATATGCTTTGGAAAGTAGAAAAGACTACTTTCATATTAAACGCTTCCCTTATGATACATGTGGCAAAGATAGGCATTTATATATCAGAAAATAAGAGATCTGATAGTACCAAATGTGAAAGTACATTTTAGATAAGAAACAGAAAGTGAAACAAGAGTTTGATCAGGGCCTAATAATTTTAACCTAATTAAACCAGGGAAAAAAAGATTGAAAATTATAGTCCACATATGAAATTTTTAGTAAGAATCTCAAAGTAATGCAATCAACTTTTAAGAAATAGTCCCTAGCTACAATAATGTGTGTGTATAAGAGTGTGCAGAAGTAGGAGTTGGAGAGTAAGGTTAAAGTAGACTATCCTCACTGGATTGCACCACTGCTGCCTCTGATAATTTTCTGCAACTTTACCTTTGAGTAGGGAAGATTGTTGGCTTTACACATAATCTCTAGAGGATCAAACACATTTCTTTTTCCTGCCTATGTAATACCCTGCTCTCACTCTTATGGCCTGCTATATAGTAGATCACACAGAGTTATAATGCACAGCTATACTTGAGAGGGAATCTTAGAAATACAAAACAAATGCTGAATTTTAGGTAAACATTACATTCTCAAGTTCTTCATATTAACCTTACTACTTAAAGGCTCCCTTCCATACCCTCCCATCTCTTCCACTCTTTCTTTTTCTTTTTTTTTCTTTTTTAAAAATATATTTTATTGCTTTTTCACAGAGAGGAAGGAAGAGGGACAGAAAGCCAGAAACGCTGATGAGAGAGAAACATCGACCAGCCGCCTCCTGCACACCCCCTACCGGGGATGTGCCTGCAACCAACGTACATGCCCCTGACCGGAATCGAACCCGGGACCTCTCAGTCCGCAGACCGACGCTCTACCACTGAGCCAAACCGGCTTCGGCTCTTCCACTCTTTCTAATCTATCTGAAAGCCTCTCCTTAGTGATCAGTCCAGATTCTTTGAGTTTAATATTACTTTTCCCATAGTCCAAGGATGAACTTCCCTCTTTGACCTTGGAGTTCAAGCACCCTTGCCTAAAGGTATTTCATGGCTCTCTGTCAGGACCTCTGTGCTGCTCCTGCTCTGAAGCCCTCTCTACAGTTTCCACACTTCTTCACTTACAATTATAACACTCCTCCCCTCCCGTCAGAATCTCATGATTTTTTTTCTTAAAACCATTTAACTCCTTCACAATCTCACTCTCCATGATCACTATTCGGTGACCATCTATGTGATGTGATGTGATGTGAAGCTTCCCTCACTTGCCACTAAATACACATATATTCTTTCCAAAGAAAAAAGGGCCAATGACATTTTCAGACAATATAAAAATTGAAAAACTGAACATATAGTTCATGGTACATTGCCAAATCTATACCATTCAGCAGAGATTTTTCTTAAGGACACTTATCTCAAACTTAGTCTAAGATTAGGTGAATCTTAACAGAATACAATGTTGCAATGTTTTATACCCTCTGTGACCAAGGCCAGTATTTTCTGTAGTCTACATTATACCTGTGTTACGCATGGGAATGTACAATTTTCCCTTTATTCAACTGCACATTTATTATTCACTGTCTGTAAGTCAAAACATATGTGAATATTTAGAGATCTATGTGCATATATATATATATATACACACACACACACACACACACACAGTAAGTTCTCATTTAACATCATCGATAGATTCTGTGACTTAAAGGGAAATGATGTATAATTAAACCAATTTTACCATAGGGTAACTGATATAAACAACAGTTAAGTTCCTACAGCCCCTCATAAATATTATAGCAAAAACCGCATTATTCAAGGACTTGCTGTACAAACACGTGCAAATCAACACATCCTTCTCCCAGCTCTCTTCCCTTTAACTTCATCATGGTTATTATATGTTGTACACACACACACCAATCCACACACTAAGTAGCTAAAGGTAACTTGATGAAAAAGAGACAAATTAAGAAGATAATTATAACAGAATAATAAATTGCCTGATCATTCTAAGCAATAACATAAAAGAGTTTAGCTAATATTGTTAAAATCCTTAAACTTTTATTAAGGGCAGACAGGATTTTTTTGGTTCTAGTCCTAAAGCCTTGAAATTAATGTCATTGAGAACATGGTTTCTTTCTTTTTAAAAAAATATATTTTATTGATTTTTCACAGAGAGGAAGGGAGAGGGATAGATAACTAGAAACATAGATGAGAGAGAATCATCGACCAGCTGCCTCCTGCAACCAATGTACATGCCCTTTGACCCGAATCAAACCTGGGACCTTTCAGTCCGCAGACCGACGCTCTATCCACTGAGCCAAACCGGTTTTGGCGAGAACATGGTTTCTTAAAACACATCTCTAGGAAGACTATTAGAGACTGAATACTAAACTGGGTCTTAGCAATCTTTTAAGTCAATTCTTATGTCTCTCAAATCCTTACTTTTGGCTTTCCAATTGTATTGGATAAAGTATATTTTTGTTTCCTTTGAAGAGCTTTAGGTTGTCCTCGTCTAATCCTTCCTCATTCATTCATCCATCCACCCATTCGTTAGTTCTTAATATATTTTATTGATTTCTTACAGAGAGGAATGGAGAGGGATAGAGTTAAAACATCAATCAGCTGCCTCCTACACGCCCCCGACTGGGGATGTGCCCGCAGCCCAGGTACATGCCCTTGGCCGGAATCAAACCTGGGACTCTTGAGTCCGCAGGCCGATGCTCTATCTACTGAGTCAAACTGGTTTCTATCATTCATTCTTTCATTCAACATTTATAGAGTGCCTACTATGTATAGGCACTTAAAAAAAAGGACATTGAATATGTAATCTAAGAAAGAGGACTGGAATATAAGAAATGCTATTTGTTCCAAGTACTTTATTTTTGTTATTTTTAACATGTTTTTATTGATTTTAGAGAGGAAGGGGCAGGGAGAGAGAAACACCAATGATGAGAGAGAATAATCTGTCAGCTGCCTCCTGCAAGCCCTCTCCTGCTTCCTGCAAGTCATTCTCGATGTGCCCTGACTGGAATCGAAAAGTGACCTCTTGGTTCATGACTCAGTATCTCAACCACTGAGCCACACCGGCCACACTAGTAGTGCCAAGACCTTTAATATGCGTCACCCAATCTCCATCATTTTCTATCACTTCATCAGTTTCAAATTTGCATCGATTCCAAAGCTACCTTGTTACTCACCCCAAAACTCTTTGGGGGCAGGAACTGCATATTATTTGTAGTTATAATATATTCACTAGGTCTACTGCAGTGCCTGACCCATATCAATGTGTCTGACACATATCAATGTGTCTATCAATGTGTCTGTTTGCCCTCCAAAGTACAGATCTGCCTGCCCTAATCCCCCCAACCCCACATCACTGCCGTATTGAACTTCTGTTAGTGAGATCATGCACAACCTTTGGAGGGCTAGGTGGGGAAAGACTCAAAAGGCACAATATACCTCTCTAGTCACTTGAATATCAATGATGATTCAAGTCTGGTTAATTGGGGTTACAGGAAGACAGACAATCAGATGTGTTCTCAACACTAAATCCTGTCACTTGTTTTTGCTTTCTGGCACAGGACACGAAACAAAAACAATTTCTAGGACAGAAATATCCACGGTTGAGCACAATGGATTTGATCAAGGAACCAGAGACCACAATGAGCTTGATTGAGAACCCAGAACCTATGGACAAGTCTGGAATCAAAAGGAAAAAAGCTAAAAGTGTCCAAATGGTGCTTCTAATTCATTCTCTATGAACCATAAAAGCTCTTTTTAGTCATATTCTCTCTCCAGGAGAGGAAGCATTCACCCTCTGATATGAATGCTTATCTCATTGTCAATGATGGAACTAAATGATTGGTAATCTCAGGGGTATAGGAAAATATGAAAAAACTCTTTCTTACTAAAATATTTAAGGCTCCTGTTTCTAAAAATAAGACTTAAGGAGGCTCTAAATATCATCTATTCAAAAACAAAACACATAGTACTGAAAAATTAGTTGATTTATTTGAATTATAAAAGGATTTTTAACTCCATTATTTTTCTAGCTCCTTTCCCAGAATAGAAACTTTACTTATTGTAAATGTCTTCATTTTAAGTTATTTTAATTATCTTTAATTTTACCCTCCAATATAGAATCTGACACAATTTTTTTTTTTTAGTTATTGAAGTGCCTCTGTGTTATTTCATTCTCACTTCCATTAACAAGTTCTAATTACCTCATACAAAGATAAAGCCTTTTAAACATGGGCTCCTTTTTGATAGTTGCATTCTACTCTAATCTACCTTGTAGGATGCTGTTTTACTGGGGGCATGAAGCCTTAGAACAGCATATAGGAATCATCCATGGTTGCCCTCCTAACTACAGATCTGCCTTCCCTACTACCTCCACCCCATGTCACTGCTGCATTGAACTTCTGTTAGTGAGATCATGCACAACCATTGGAGGGCTAGGTGGGGAAAGATTAAAAAGGCACAACACATGTCCCTAGTCACTTTTTTCAGCCACCTTCCTGTTTTTCTCTGCTACCCAACATATAACTTCTGTTACCACTGAGTAGAAAGCATTGCCTCTAACATATGCTATACCTTATAAAATCACAAAGGTACTCTTTAGAGTATAACAAAAACACCAAATCTCACATTTTAGTGCAAGTGTGCTTCTCAGAAGAGTACATATCTATACTAATAAAAGGGTAATATGCGAATTAGACTGGACATCTTTTAGATGTCCTTCTGGACAAAGCCATGGTGGCAGCAGGCGAGGTGGTTAGGGGCGATCAGGCCAGCAGGGGAGGGCAGTTAGGGGAGATCAGGCCATCAGGGGAGGGCAGTTAAGAGTGATCAGGTTGGCAGGGGAGGGCAGTTAGGGGTGATCAGGCAGGCAGGGGAGCAGTTAGGGGCATCAGGTAGGCAGAGTAGTTGGGGATGATCAGGCAGGCAGAGGGGTTAGGAGTGATCAAGTAGACAGGCAAAAGTAGATAATTAGGGGTGATCAGGCAGGCAGGCGAATGATTAGGAGTAAGCAGTACCAGATTGTGAGAGGGATGTCTGACTGCCGGTTTAGGCCCAATGGGAGTCAGACATCCCCTGAAGGGTCCCAGACTGGAGAGGGTGCAGGCCAGGCTGAGGGCCCCTCCCTGTCCCCATGCACGTATTTGATGTACCAGGCCTCTAGTAAAATGATAAAAACCTTCACAATCTTCTCTGTACCAACCTTATGTCTTCCACGAAAGACATTTGCAGTAGCTCCTTGGCCTAAAATATCAGATAAAAGCCACAGATGATTTGAAGTGCTCTGCATCTCGGCTTGGTCAGGCGATCCACTTTGTTATACTAAAAGAAAAGAAAAAATGTGCATGTTTGTTTTAAGGGACTACTACATTAAGAAACAAATGTTAGCTACTTGTAGTCTCAAGTAAGATCACCCCTTATTTTTAGCTAAATTAAGGTGTATAAACAGTTCAAAGTGACATCTAAGTTTCCAGTAATAATAAAGGCAAAGTGTTGTGTGGGCTCTGACTAAAACTAGCCAATGACATATTATATATTCAACATTTACTTATCAAAAGGCTGAAAAAAACATCTATTTCCCTTCTAACTTTGTCTTTGTCAATGAGAGTGATATTGGCCACTTCTTCAAATGTTTTTAAAGATTAATCAATGAAGAATTATATTTAAAGTGTTCAAAATAACGCAATAACGTAAAATATAACAATATATTACTTTGTTTCCTTCAAGAGCAGTGCAACACTAATGAAAAAAAACTGCTGACTCTGCATTACATTTACATAACTTAAAATTCCATCTACATAGAGCCTGACAATCACAATAGAAAGGTGCAAAAATGACTAATGCTGAAAGATGAATAACTTTTCTGAAATTAAGGGTAGTTTCCCTAACCTGCAAGTATATAAATATAGATATGTCAAATGTATATTATTAAATCTTAAAAAATAAGCAAGAGGAAACTATGCATGTGTGGGCACAGGAAATATATGAAAAAAATCTCTGTTTTTTCTGCTCAAATTTGCTGTGAGCCTAAAATTGCTCTAAAAAGTAAAGTCTATTTAAAAAAAAAACATCATCCCTATCCAATACTGGAAAAAAAGCATCATCCCTTTTTTAACACTGTCCTTTAATACTAAAAAGCATATAAGAATACTAAAATTATTTGACCTTCATGTTAGAAAAAGGTATGCTAAAAAGCATAAACACTAGTCTCACCAAACCACTTTAAACTTAAACCTACTGTAATGTCAGATTAAAACAGATCTTAATATTCCTTTGTAGAACTCTGGCTGGGTAGCTTGGTTGGTTACAGCATCACCCCAATATGTCAAAGTTGCATGTTCCCCATCATACAAGAATCAACCAATGAATGCATAAATAACTGAAACAACAAATCAAGGTTTCTCTCCCTCTCTCCTTCCCACACCCCTGTCAAATTAAAATATAATATATATCCATTGTAGTTAGAATAGACTAGGTCAGTGGTTGGCAAACTCATTAGTCAACAGAGACAAAATCAGCAGTACAACGATTGAAATTTCTTTTGAGAGCTAAATTCTTTAAACTTAAACTTCTTCTAATGCCACTTCTTCAAAAGAGACTTGCCCAGGCCATGGTATTTTGTGGAAGAGCCACACTCAAGGGACCAAAGAGCCACATGTGGCTCGAGAGCCGAAGTTTGCCGACCACGGGACTAGGTAGTTAGTGATGAATTAATGACTGCCAATATTCCAAGTAGAATTAGAAACTTAAAGAATGGCCAGGGGTCTAAATTTCAGCAATCTTTGATATGCTAAGAAATAGTTATGTAATTTTACCAGCCATCTAATTCAGATAAGGAATATTATATTCAGCAGTTTATTAGAAATAAGCAATAAAAATAAGATTTCCTTTTAACAAATGAGAAATATGTGTGATCTACTGGGGTGATACTGATAAACTTCTCAAATGTCTTTTCAATAATATTTTTAAATAACGAAAAACCTCCCCTAATTAACTTGGCTGTTTGAGATAACTGTAAACGGCCAACAGTGTCACTAGGTTCCTATCTGTACCTAGTGGATGATATAAAACACGTTTATCAGCTAAGTTCTCTGCTCTCTGTTCAGAGCTATAAACCCATGGTTTTACAGTGATCTGGGGGGATATCTTCTAAAAGTAGCTTCCAAAAACCCCACCGTAATAGCATGCTAATAGGTGACGCAGCACACCCACAAGGTGCTTGCTGTATAAATGTTCCCAAAATTTTAACACAGGACAGGCAGGCGCTCAACAAGTCTGTTCCTGCTGACCCTGCCTTACGTGTACTTCTTGATATACCATCGGAAACGAAAGTTAGCATTTGTCCATAAAAAAAAAAACCCCACGAAATGGGCAGTTCCAGGTTTTCCAAACTCTCCGTCCACGTGACACATGTTAAACAGGTATTTATTCAGCATTCTCAAGTGGAAAAGGTCGTTCTTTGGTTATGCCTTTTGACAATTCCTGGGGAGAAGAACTTGGTTTGAGGCCACTTAGTGAACAAAAAATACCTGGGAAGCGGACTGGAAAACAAACCTACAGCCATTTCCCCAGGGGGGAAGCTTTGCATTATCCATTAATTACGTGTCCGTATATTAAAAACGTCTTCAGCTTCTAGCTTCCCGTGAGGCAAGCCCCTCGTTATCATCACTAAAACCTAAAATGAAACATCTTTCTCATCCTCTGACAAAAATAAATCAGTCCACTGAACCACGGCCGACCTCGCCAATGCTGGGAACCGGGGCTCAGAGCGGCCGGTCCAAGCGCAAGGGAAGGGGGCGTCGTCTCTCCGGGGCGCCAGGGCCCAGCCTCGGCCGCCAACACATCCTCTTTTCCCGGTGCCCCACGTCGCCAGCACCCGGAGGGCCCGGGGCGGAAGGGCCGGGAGTCTAGATGGAGGGAGCCGACCATTCCTCCGGGCCTCACACGCCCCAGACCCCCGGGGGCGGCGTCCGCTCGGCCGGGGGACGCGGAGGGGGGGAGGGTCCGCCTCGGGCCGCGCGGGGCTCCTGGGGTCGCCCGCCCCGCCCCCGCTCTGACTCAGCACCCCGGTTCCCCACGGAGGGCGGGGACCCTCCGCGAGGCCCGTGCCGCGCGGCGTGGCCCCTTCCCCACGCGCCGCGGCCCCCCCGCCCGCAGCCACCCCACTCACCGCGCCCGGTCGCCTCCGCGCCACCGCCAGCGGGCTCCCGCGGCCTCCCAGCGCCTCAGGACACTTCCGGCTCCGCCAACCGGGTCCGGGGGCCACGTGACCGAGGGCCGGCGCGCGCGCGCGCGCGCGTGTGCGCGTGCGCACGCCCCAGGGTCCGGCCTCAGCCTCCGAAGCTGCCGCAGCGGTGGGTTCGCCTGCCGTCTCTATGGGGAGGGGGGGGGGGGGAGGAGAGAAGCTGGGGGTGTCGGCAGCGCGACACCCCTTCCGCTGAGGCTGAAACCGGGGAACCCTGCACAATGATTCAGATCCCCGTAATCGCGAACCCCGCCCCGTCCTGGAGAGCAGGGTGCGGCGCGGGGCGACAGCGGGGAAGACAGAGCGGAAGTCCTCATTGTAACCATCAACTGTGCAGAATGCTGGACACCTGGGGGGCTCTTACTGGGCAACACCGGAGCCCGAAAGGATAGATTGTATCTGTTTTCAAGACCACGTTGGCTGCAGTGGAGCTAGGAGATTGCTTCTTAATTATTCACTCGTGAAAGTATTTATGTAAATAAGCTCTTATAAGTCCCTCTTTTAAGCGGAATTTTGGGAAAATGACCATATTGGAGAGCTTTTTATGGACTACAATCAGGCCCAGCAGTATCCGTGCTGCCAAGGTCTCAGGCAGCTAGCCATCCCTTCTGCCGACTGACAGCACTGCGGACCCAGAGCTTCCCAAAAGAGAACAGCAAGAAACGGGAAATAGCGACAAAAGTGGTTTAGACCAAAGGCTTTTGAATGAAACAGACCTGGGGCTGCTGTTCCAGCTCTTCCTGCCAAATACTGAACTTTAAACAAGTGTGTTTGTGTTTTGTTTTATATACACAACTTAACAAAAGCCCACTGTGATGCATTGTTACAAAGGAAGTTACTTTATTAGACTTTTAAACAATGTTTAAGCGGTAGAGTCATTCTAACAACGAAATCTATTCACTGCATACAATTCCAACCAGTTCTCCCATAGCTAATGCTAAGGACCTGTCCAAGTTCCTTGCAACAGTAAAGCCCATTGCTCAAAGCTTACGGGAGAAGTGATGAGCTGAGCTCAAGCTTTTTATTCACACATTTACCACACAGAAATCGATACATTTTGAAATATCAGTGTTTTCTTAAAGGTCAAGCCACTTGTGAACCAGTGTAAGCGTTTACTTTAGGATTTAAATAAAACTGTTAGGCACAGAATAATAAAAATTCTTTTGGTTCCATAGTCAAGTCACACAAATCACTAAGCTTTTTGCCTCGATGTTACCTCACCTGTAAACAGGTGAGATTCACCCTTGTGACAATTATTTGAGTGCTTGTTTTTGGAAATGAAGTGCAATACAAATAAGGTAATTCATGATTGAACAGTTTCCTAATTACTATGGCACTCTACATAAAGTGCCCTGGGAAACTTCAAGGAATGAAGATAGAATTCTATATGGTTATATAACATGAAGTTTCATTTCTATTACACTCTTAATTTCCATGTTTTATTTCTCTTAGCTCTGAACACACGTGAATCTTTGAAGGGCTTTAAAAAGCCAGGGAGGAAGGAGCAGGTGTCATCTTTACATACATGGAATAGTTCAGTAACCATAGCTTGTATCAAGCCTTCGTGGGCAGGTATTGCAATAAGCTCTTTTCATGTTTAACTTAATCAGTTCTTAGTTATGAGGTAGCTACCATTATTTCTCTCATTTTGCACAAGGGGAAACTGCGGAGAGAGAACTTGCTTAAGGTTCAAAAAGCAGTTACTGGCAAAACTGTCATTTGAACCAACTTAAATGAACTGTTATCTGGATCCTAAATCTGTGCTCTTGACCACTATGCTATGCTACTCATTAGCACACTTTGAACAATTAGTATTATTGCAATAGGTGCAATATTCTTTCCCAAAGTACAAGAGGACTTATAAACAAAGCACTCAGCTTTTAATCATCTATTTTTAAAAACATCCTTATTGAAGTATAATATACATTCTATTGATCTAGTTTTACAATTCAGTCAACTTAATTCAGTATGTTTATTCTATAACATAAGGAAAATGTTTAAAATCACTTCTGGAATTAACCCCAGAAAAAGGTCTATGTGCACAATTTAGAATACAATTTTAGGGAATTTATAGACCACTGAAGCTCATCCATAAAATCCCTTGGGACCATATTGGCCAAAGGTAAAAACAAACAAACAAACAAACAAACAAAAACATAGAAACATCCAACCCTCCCCTAAAATTTTACTTAGAATTTTAGAATTTAAACTTAAGTACAGTAATTCTGCTACTCAAGGTTGTCCCTCTTTCCGTAATTTTCCAATACGACTGCTATTGTTTTCCCTCTTGCCTTCTTGCCGTTGTGAATAAAAATGGAAGAAAACAGGGGAAGGTACTTCTACTAACTAAAGGAGCAACAACTACCATAATTACGAGCACCACACACACAGGTATATTGTGCCCTACGTAGATCCAATAAAAGAGGTAGAAAAAATTGGATTTTTAATTCTGTCAACAGAATCACATGGGCCTCTTCTAGGGCATTTAAAAAAGATTCTATTTAGCCAAAACAGGTTTGGCTCAGTGGATAGAGTGTCAGCCTGCGGACTGAATGGTCCCGGGTTCGATTCCGGTCAAGGGCATGTACCTTGGTTGCAGGCACATCCCCAGTAGGGAATATGCAAGAGGCAGCTGATCGATGACTCCCTCTCAATGTTTCTAACTCTCTATCTCTCTCCCTTCCTCTCTAAAAAAAAAAAATAAATAATAAAAAAAAATCAATAAAATATATTAAAAAAAAAAGAAAAAAGAAAAGATTCTATTTAATAGAACTAAGTTGCATATAGCTTTTAAGGAACATAATAAAATAAACCACCTATAAGCTCATATGTGCAATCCTTTAAATGGGAAGTGATAGACAGGTAAAATGAGAAAATAAGGCTAAAGTATTTATAATAATTCCAAAAAAGACTTGGTAGATTCACTATGTAAATTTTATTTTATTTTTTATAAAAAAATGTGTAACACCAGTACCTACTCTTAAATCAGTTAATTTATGAAACCATTCTTTTTTGTAGAATACTTATTGGCATTGAAACATTTTAAAGAAATGTAATGGCTATCTACAAAAAAAATTAGTTTTGATCTGTTGTATCCCACCCCATACTTTAAGTCTGCACAGATAAAAGAAAATTTAAAATTTCAAACAATTTATATTCCGCAATTTAAAAAAGTACAGTTTTCCTGCTATGGTCTTTAAAGGACTTAAAGTTTCAAGTAAATAGATAAAATGGTACTAGAATAACTCTGCTGTATCTTTTAACAGCTTTTTTATATAGAACAATTTAAATCGGCATGCAAGCAACTTCTCTTGTTGTTACATACCCGTATTTAGGGAAAATTACACACATTTTACAGAAAAATCCCAATACATATACTGCAATAAGCTCAGGGCCAAGTTAAAAAGACCAGTGTGAATGGCACACAAAACTGCTTCTTTATAAATTATTAACTGGAATTTCTGATCATAAATCCTGATCATGAAGTAGGCACAGGGAGATCCAGTTCTTAGGGCCTTGCTCTCTGGAAGAACACCTGCAAATAAATTATCGATACAGTCAGTATTGATCTCCAAAATACCACCTTTCACTTGAAGAATGGCTCTATGTTGCTGAGTGCTAGTTACTCTTCTGTAAAATTCAGCAGATACTGCCTTGGCCAGTGTGGCTCAGTTGATTGAGCGTCATCCATGCACTAAAATGTCGCTTAATTCCCGATTAAGGCACAAACCCAACATGCAGGCTCAATCCCTGGTAAGGGTGTCTACGGGAGGCAATATTTCTGTCTCACATCAATGTTTCTCTGTCTTTCATATCAATAAAAATGTATTTAAAAATTCAGTAGATATTTAAAACATTTCACAAAATTCAACATAATACAAATTAAGAACTTTGTTTTTTGGACAATTTGATAAAGTCTATAGATAACTTATGGTGACAATATTAAGTTGGGAAACTACTTGAAATAAAGTATTTCACTAATGCTATGAGAGTCAAGTGATCAGAGGAAAACATGCTTTTGATACATTTTGCTGACTGGCACTACTATCAAAATTAATGCTGAGAAATTAAATCTTGAGGAAGAAAAAGTCAAAGCTACAGATAACTTAAGGAATTTATTATTTATTTGATTATTAAAAAGTCCCGGAAGCTCAGACGGTTAAGAGTGTTGTCCTGATAGGCCTAGGTTGCAAATTCAAACACCAGTCAGGGCACATATAAGAATCAACCAATGAATGCATAGATAAAATGGAACAACAAATTGATGTTTCTCTCTCCCCTGCCCCTTTAAAATCAATTTAAAAAAATACTTTAAAAAAAAAAATACTTTTAGCCCAGGTGGTGTGGCTCAGTGTTTGAGAACCTATGAACCAGGAGGTCATGGTTCGATTCCTGGTCAGGGCACATGCCTGGGGTTGCAGGATTGATTCTCAGTAGGGGTGTGCATGAGGCAGCAGATCAATGATTCTCTCTCATTATTGATGTTTCTCTCATCCTCTTTGAAATCAATAAAAATATATTTTAAATATATATATGAAAAAACACTGAATGCCAAACTAAGAAATATGAACGTATTTTTAATCAACAGCAGGCTTTGAAAGTTTTGAATTAGGGGAATGAATTTCAGGGGTCTATTCAGTGTTGTCAAGAAGACCTGCATGGTGAGAACAGGGAAGAACGATCAGTGAGTTAACAAGCCTATCCCAGATAGCAAGGAAGGGACAGCAAGTGAGTGAGGAGGAAGGATCTGCAAAGGATCTGAGGATCAATTAGGCATGAAGGGAGTAGGCATGAAAGAAGGAACTTCATTTTTTCAAACTAGAAGAATATTGCTACCAATGACTTGGTGCTATCAATATAAAGAAGTTGGATTTGGGAGAAAGACATTTTATGAATGCTGTTTGGAATAAATTATATGTTTGGAGCAAAAACTGCTAAAATGTACATATATCTGCTGTTACAGACCCCTTTAATAGTTACAATTTTTTGAATCCTTTAATGCAGTTTGATTCATCAGTTATTTAATAGGTTATCTTCACAGGCACTTTGCATTTATGGGGAAATGGGAGTAGGGGGATTCGTGATGATAAACAGTAATTCTCAACATTCTTCTCATAAATCCTTTTGTCCGTTTAAGCTGACAAACTACTACTACTACTACTACTACTACTACTACTGGGGAAAAACTGGCAAGGGAAGAGTTTAGAACCCAAGTCAAAGGATAGGATACTTAAACTCTGCAAAGCCCCTTGATTTATAAAGCCTCTTGAATGGACTTGGGCAAAAGAACCACGTAGCCATTCATTAAATTACCTGCTACCAAAACATTTAGCATATGCTTTGTCCTCAGACTTGATAAAGAACAGTTAATAAATAAAAAATAAAGAACAATTCCTCCTCCAGCCCAGGAGCTCCTTATGGGCAGGGAAAGTCACTCATATTGGTATTTGCAGCAGTTGGCATAGTACCTGTTACATAAAAAGCAGTCAGGAAGTACTGAAGGAATACTTAGGTGAAAGCAAGATAGTGCTGTCTCAAGAATTTAATTATAAACATAATACCAAATAAACATATGGCACTTCTTCCTGATGTGGAGGGTTTTAAAAAATTCAGTGATTACTATACAAATGTATAAAGAGCCTTGCTGGCCAAATCTGAGGACTCTACTTTTTGTCTGTTTTACAACTCAAGTTTCAAGATAGGATACAACCAAGTAACTCATACTTCTGTTTTTATATTTTTAGATACTTCCGTTCAACTCCATATGGGCAACTGTTCTTAAACATTACTTGTTCCTATTTCATTACATCATGAAACTGTAAAAGAAAACTGGCATTTTCATACCAAATGCTCAGGCACATACACATTCAGTGTTCTTACCCAACTCTCTATGATCTTATGTTCAGTTGACAGGGGTTTCACAGAAGACTCTAAAGTATAACATCTATAACTATAGATTTTTAGAAGCATGTTTTAGAGCAAAGAGATGCCAAAATAATAGTTGGTCAAACTACAGCCTGAGTCCTGGCTGCTGTGGCTCCGTTGGTTGGAGAGTCACCCTGTGCACAAAGGGGTGGTGTGTTCAATTCCCAGTTGGGGAGCAGACTGTAAGGGAGGCAACAGATGGATGTTTCTGTCTCTCTCACTTCTCTCTCTCTAATCAATGAAGATATATCCTTAGGTGAGGACTAAAAAACAAAACAAAACAAACTACAGTATCCTATCTATATAAAAGGCTAATATGCTAAGTGTCCGACAGTGTGGGTAAGGATGTCAAGTGGCAACACCTGGCTTCCTCTTCCTATGGACGAGCCTCCTTGCAGTTTTTTTCAGCTCAGGAGCACAGACTTGCTTTATAGCCAGGTGGAAACACTTTACATTATAACTAAATGTTTATGAAGTGTGCCTCATCTCAGTTGATCCTCACAGAAGTCCTAGAGCAGGTAGATAGGAGACTTGGTGAAATCCTATTTTATTTTCATTAGCCGGGGGAAAAAAACAGATTTAGAAAGCTTAGAAACTTGACCCGAATGAAAGAAATGGTGGACCTTGAAAATGACTTCAGGTTTTCTCACTGTGCGGAATATAGTCAAACACTGCTGCAGTTAAAAATTTTGCCCTTTGTTCTCCCTGCATGATCTACAATAATAATGTGCTTTGTGTTGATATTTACTGCTGTGTTTCTGACAATTACCTGAAAGAGAAGTCGGGATGCTTCACTGGGCTGGAAAAAGTTTAGCTAATCAGAAAGCAGGTCTCATTAAGCAAGATTGTTCTATATCTATAAAAGGCTAAGTTGGCTCGTGCATGTGTGATACATAGAAAGTGCTTGCTGACGCCAATTGCATATGTGTTTCGATCTGTCATCATCAATTGTGAATTTGGTTGTTTTAGTTGACATCCTGAAGCTGAAAGAAAGCGGTGGCGTGGCAGGGAAGTAACAATGGCAATTAAATATAATCATAATAGTGATTAAGGTAGGTATTAATTCTCCCCATGTAAAAAGTTGCCGTCATATTCAAAAACAAAGATTGGAGGACCTCCTTTTGAAAGGGACTTGCTCATTCATTGCAAACCAGATCCCAATAATCCGAATGCCATTAAAATGAAACAAATCAGTCTCTTGTTTCTTACATTAGATGCAATGATGTATCCTATTCTTTTATCACATGGTGGAAAAGGCTGGGGAATGGATATTGCATTAAGACTCAGAGACGACAGTGTGAGTCTTAATGCAATAATGCTAGATTCAACAAGTGATGCTGAAAAGAAAAAATTTTCCATCGAATTTCTTAAAAGTATTATTCCTTCGGGAATGCCGTATCATAGATTAGAATCAAAAGTAGGTGTAATCATCATGCCACAGAGAAATCTTAATGGTAAATGGGGGTCTTTGTAATGATACTAGATTTATTATCAAAAGATTGCAGCGTAACATAATCGAAGCTAAAGTATAATATTAACAGGATTTGCGGAGGAGATGTTGCTCTGATTCCAAAAACTGATTTGTCCCCATCTGACACTAGCCTCAGTGATAGAATAAGTTTAATCAATTTATCAGTCATTATTTTTATCAATGTAGTTTTTATATCATGTTTTTGTTCTTTTTATATCATGTCTTTGTTGTTATAGCATGTTATTGTTTATTAATCAATTTATATATTATTTTCATAGACATTTTACTAATTTTCTTTAATCTCTGATATTTCTATTATAGAGAAAGGGCAAATAGTGGTATTAAAATATTTCTTCTAATTAATTTCCTTTCAATGTGCATGAATTCATACACTGGACCACGAGTAATATATATATTCTCTCTTAGCTCCAAAACATTTCCTAATTATATGAAGATATGTAAGTTTTTCAAATACCTACCTTTAAGTAGTTTTTAAAAACTTTAGCGTCAGGCTGCTGAAGAGCTTGACAAAACTCCTGGGGAGCCAGGAAGGGAGGAAAGAACAGAATCAATCTATTTGTATTACATTCATAATAATATAAATCCATAGCATGGTTTTAAAATTGTGATTGAAAACATAAAGCTTACCATCTTAAGCATTTTTATGTGTACAGTATAGCAGTGTTAACCATATGCACAATGCAACTCCCACACACCCTAGCCCCTGGCTACCACCATTCTATTTTCTGTTTTAAGACTATGACAATAGATACTTTAATACAATTAGAATTTTGTAGTACTTGTCTTTCTGAGACTGGCTTATTTCACTTAGTATAACGTCAAAGGTTTGTCCAAGTTGTAGCATATGACAGCATTTCTCTTTTTTTAAGGCTGAATAATAATGTTATCCATTTACCTACGAATGGACATTTGCACTGCTTCAAATCTATAATATTTGTAACTTGTAAAAATTAACCTGAACAGTTCCTCACCAACCATGTTTATATAGTATTTTCAAATCTAATACTTGTCAGACAGCTGCTTTCACTTTTGAGAATAAGGTTCTCTTATCTAAATAATAAAAACTACACTGACATGGCCATTCTTACCTAGATAGTAACTGAGCAAAGCCAGACCAAATCGTTATCCTTCATAATCAAATTATTAGATAGAAATATAATTTTGTTTCATTCAGCAATCTGGAGAATATTAGCTACTCAAAATCAAATGACATATTTCTATTTTCATGAGCATCAAGATCACGAGTAACTAGTAATTTATTGTTTTAATAAAATATTAGCTTACAATAACTGAAAAAGTTGATTAATAGCTATAAAATTAAAGATGTGTTAGAGACCATAAATCCATTAAAAATGAGTTGGTTGATTACTCTTATGTGAGATCTATCTGATTTTTCACTCAATTTTTTCAATGCCTCTTATAAAATAGCATTATAAACCATTGTTGATGAAGAAACAATTCTTGGAATCTACACAAGAGATTCTAACTAGTTTTAACCAAAACTTTGACACCTTATCAGATCTATGTGCTATCGTACAAGCAGTTTGGATAACCAAGAAAATAACTAAAAGCCATTAAAAATTATTCTGTAACAGTGCAAAAGTGAAATAGCTTTCCAACCCCTTACCTCAAAATATAGTTTCAGATTTACAAAGTAAGCACATATAAAATAAACTACCTGACATAAACCTTCAGAACAGATTCGTGGGCCATGGTCCCCTTTGGACTCCTTTGAGAACGATTTTTAACACATGGGATTACAAAGGAAACTAATAATGAATTATGGTTATAAAATTTTTTTTGACATGTGGTAGAATAAAACACTCAGTAATAAGATCTAGTGGCATATTTTAACTCCTAATTTCAAACTACTAATGAGTGTAAATAATATTTTGAGATCTTGAAACTAGTGATACAGAAAATATCTGTGATTACTTTTTGGTAACAGAGTTACGGCAATGTGAATACTTCTGTGATTAGTCACATACACAATGACAGATCAAATTTCTATTAAAGATTAGTGAAAATATTTTTCCTATTCAATTTCAGAGTCACCTCCCTCTCCCAAGTTTGGACTCTTTTTTTTTTTTTTTTTTTTTTTAAGAGTCCTATGATTGTGTTCATTTATTTATTTATTTTTAATATATTTTATTGATTTTTTGGAAGGGAGGAAGGGAGAGAGATAGAGAGCTAGAAACGTCGATGAGAGAGAAACATCGACCAGCTGCCTCTTGCACACCCCCTCCTGGAATCGAACCCGGGACCTTTCAGTCCGCAGACCGACGCTCTACCACTGAGCCAAATCGGTTCGGCCCAAGTTTGGACTTTTGCTATTCTATACACAGTAAAACATCAACTTGAATGCAGTTTGGCTTGGATCAAAATTTAGTTTGAATTATAGTCATATTTATTTAATTAAATTAAGAGGAAAATCTGCTAGTGCAGCTCTTACTTGAATTATCTCTGGAGCTACTTGCAAGGAAGGTAGGTATTCTTGTTGAAGATACTGAACACATTCTGGGCCCTGAAAATGAAAAGATGGTTATAATTAAATTATTTTCTTCCTTGACATCAGTATTGCTTTAAAAGAAATTGGGAGCAACATATGTATACTTTAAACATAATACAGTACTGTGATTAAGAACAGACTCTAAAACCAGAGTCTGCTTTGTTTTGAAGACTGGCTCTGACAAATTTCTGATAATTGGGCAAGTTAACTTCTCTGAGCCTCAGTTCCCTATCTTAAAAAAAAAATGGAGTTGTTGGAGGGTTGGATGAGTTTAGAAATGTAAAGCTTTTAAAGAACATTATAGTATTTACTAAAAAACACTAAGTGTTATGTAGTGCTAAAAATTAAACTATTATTCTTTTAAATTCAGGAGGTCATAATGTCTTCTATGCACTGAAAGGAGACAGCAAATAGAAGTGTTCCTGTTCAATCCACCACTGGGTGGACTCTAGGGCAGTACCACAGTAATGACTATCTTTAGAAACTAAAATACAAGCAAGAAAGATCAAAATGATAGGCTAGGACGTAATATAAGTAAAAACATAACTTCCTTTTTCTGCTCACAAAATAAGGAAATAGAATTTAGTAGCCAGATGAAGCAACCAAAACCCAGAAATATAGGATTATTTGCCCAGTCTGCTGATTAAAACTGTACTAAAATCAGGTTACCGACTTGCTCTATACTGCTATCTTCTAGTACTTCTAGGTGTTAAAAACTGTAACAGTAGTTTTCTGGGGCAATTTGGGGTTAAGTTTGGTGAAGGGAAGAGAGAAAATTTCCACAAACTAGCCCTTAGCTCCTCCACTGCTTCTTAGACCCTATAAAGAAACTCAGGATACAATTTGAAAGCAGTTATCCTATAGCAATGTGTTTCTGCGAGAGAGGCCTCAAGCAAATGTAATAAATCCAAAAGTAAAAAAAGCTAAACTTCACTTTTAAATGTGAATCTGACTGACTTCAACCTGGTCCAACTGAAAGTAACAGTTATCAAAATTAAATCAATCCATCTTTCCTCAATACACTTCTCCCTGCATTGACACCTCATTTCTTATTCAGTGTTACTGCTCCTGAACCAAAGGATTTATCTATGTTTCTTCTTCCTTGATTCCTGGACCCTCTAACCCAATGGACCTAGGTCACAATTTAGTCTTCAAAGGAAGGCCGTTCCTAATTGAGAGGAGGTAACGTTTTACTGAAAGTTTCTCACCTCTTTCTGTAGTCTATTCTCCCTAAACTTAACTTCTCATGCACTGCTCATCATCTCATACAAGCCCACTGTTATCACTTAAAAACAGAGCATACTTGTTTTACCTTTTAAATCAGAAAAAATAAACTTCTACCTTAAGAGGAAGTCAGTCAGTGAATAAATGAAAAAAATAAAACAAAGCAAAACATCTTCAAATATAATATTCCATATGATTCAACTCTGTGTGTCTAAATGAGAGCTTCTAAGGACAAGATAAATACTTCTGAACTGTAAATATCACTTATTGTTTTTTTGTCATCCTGATTCTCCAGCATCCAATGATGTTCAACCCATCTGCTCTTTTGTGACTCTCCTCCTTTAGCTTTTACAACTTTGGTTCTACTTCTAGTGTCCCCTAACTCTAGCTTCAGCCAAGGTTCTTTCTGTCCTGGTCTTAGAAAGTCTCACTTCTAAGAGACTTTCTCCAAAACCGGTATTTAGTTCTAACTGGTTCAGACCATATTCTCTACTGTCCTCTGAACATTATTTTCTGATTTAGCTATCCTAAATTATAACCCAACCTTTCACACATAGAGCACACCTCGCCCCATTTCAGCTTTTATTTATTACTTCTGCCATCATACTTTAAACATGTTAACACTATTTTCTACCAAATCTACTAAGTGATGTCTTATGTCTCCATACACTGCTTAACTTTCCCCAGAATGCCACCTCCTCCTATCAGTCCAATGAATCTATATTCAAGGTCTGTCAGAAAAAAATGTAAAAACTGCCTCTTTCTAATGGCTTTCTTAAGATTGCTCTCAGAAGCCAAGTTGTTCCTTCTTCTTTAATTCCATAATATTACATTTAATTAATATATATGTATAAAATTTTTAAAGAGCTTACTTAACCCATCCCATTAAGCTATTATGCATGGGTCTCTCCTGATTCTAAGATCTACAAATAAGGGAGAATTTTAAAAAATATTTTATTACTAGAGGCCCCATGCACAACATTCGTGCACCGGGGTGGGGGTTGGGGGTGGGGTCCCTTCTCACAGTCCGGGAGCCCTCAGGGAATGTCCTACGGACGGCTTAGGCCCACTCCCTGCAGGAGGCCTCCCTCTTCAGGACACAATCTGGCTGATCAGGAAAGGGGCCACCCCCATCACTCTGCTGCCACTGCTGGCCGCTGCAGCCCCCAAGGTGTTTTCATCAACAGACTCCAGTCCCTTCACCATGAAAGTGACGAACTTTCTTTAGGCATTTTCAAGATGTCTCTTTCATAGGACATGACATTTCTTTCTTTTCTTTTTAATCCTCACCTGAGAATATTTTTCCATTGATTTTTAGAGAATATGGAAGAGAGAGGAAAAGACAAAGAAATATCAATGCGAGAGGGACACTGTAATTGGTTGCCTCCTGCATGAGCCCTGATCTAGGCCCCAGCCAGAGAGGAGCCTGCAACCCAGGTACATGCCCTTGATCAGAATTGAACCCGGACCCTGTGGTCAGCAAGCTGGGGCTCTACCCACTAAGCCAAACCAGCTAGGGTAAGATATAACATTTCTTATCCCCTCCAACAGTGGACCTTCATTTTTTTCCTCCAGGAGTGAGGTGGGAAAACCCTAGATCACCTTCTTAGATTCTTATTATGCAAGTTACCAAGAACACTGTGAGTGGCGTACCCAGAGCTTAGCCAATGAGCAGTCATTGATGGGCAGAGGCAGGACTGCTGGTGAGGGCCTGCCCTCAGCCGTGAGTGGGCCCTCTCCCTCTCCCTCTGGTCCACGCTCTCAAAAAGCAGTGAAAAAATATCCTAGGGTGAGTATTAAAAAACAAGACAAAACACAGAATAATAGGCCTCCTCCTTGGAGATGCTGAATATGTAGGCTCAAAGAGAGAATTCGTGGCTCTGTGAAGATCCCTACATGAATTTTATTAACAGTATTTGGAAAATTAGCCTAACCCACACCAATGATTCAAGTTTGCGCTTTTCTGTGTTCCAGGGAAGAATCAAATGATCTTTTGTTTTATTGTGTCAAAACAAAATTTTGCATGAATTAAATACATAATTCTTATTTAAATACATAATAGCAGATGCAAAAGTTCTGTTTAACTCAGTGAAGGGACTGGCAAGGTGATAATGCCGTTCAAATAAGATTACCAAAGATGAAGGCCTGAAGTAAAACTGCTAAGTTAGATACAATCTGGCTAATGTCCTAAAGGACAATAAAACCATTTTTTTGAATTGGTGAGTCTGCCTTCTAAACAGAAATTAGTTACATCTTTAAAAGCCTAAAAATTCTTTTCATCTTCTCACTTTGCTGATCATTATATGTAACTTTCCAGGGCTGTAAAATGTCAAAATATATGTAACTTATTTAATTGTAAATAGTGTGTCAGAATATGTGTTTCAGCCAAAACCGGTTTGGCTCAATGGATAGAGCGTTGGCTTGGGGACTGAAGGGTCCCAGGTTCGATTCCGGTCAAGGGCATGTACCTTGGTTGCGGGCATATCCCCAATAGGGGGTGTGCAAGGGGCAGCTGATCGATGACTCTCTCTCATCGATGTTTCTAACTCTCTCTCTCCCTTCCTATCTGTACAAAATCAATAAAATATATTTTAAAAAAAAGAATATGTGTTTCATAGAAAAAGAAATGATCATTCTGTGGGCCTCTAATGCCCTAATTATACTGAAAGGACTTGCTGTCAACATTTTACTCCAGGCCTGCAAATGGCCTCGGAGGCTGTGGGCGGGTCTGCCCTTGCCTCTCAGAGCCAGTGATTGGCCACGGAGGCTGCAAGCAAGCCGCCATCTCCTCTCTGGGCTTGTGCTCTGCGGGCTGGCCCTCCAGTCCCCCAGGGGCCCTCCATGGCCGGGACGTCACTGCAGCAATGAAACAAGTATTTGCCAGGCTGCTCATGCTACCCGCTCTCAGCAGCAGCCCCCCCCATCCCCTCCCAGACTGGGGACTCCAGCGAGGCTGAGGGGACTGGGCAGAGTGACAGTTAATTTGCATATTATCCTTTTATTAGATAGGATTTTATTTACCTTACTTTATTGAAAAAGGTAAAGGGAGAAACATTGATTTGAGAGCATAACATCTGTTAGCTTCCTTCTGCACAGCCCACATGGGGCGAATCAGCCTGCAACCCCAGCATGTGCCTTGACCAGAACTGAGTTATGACCTCCTGGTTTATGGATCAACACTCAACCACTGAACCACTGGCCGGGAGAAAGCTCTTTCTTATATAAAAGTTCATTAATTTCAGTTCTGCCTGAACTGAGGGGGTGGGGTGTGCAGGAGGCAGCCGATCAATGATTCTCTCTCATCATTGATGTTTCTCTCTTTCCCTCTCCCGTCCCCTCTGAAAATCAATAAAATCATTAGAAAAAAAAAAAAATACAGCTTTAAAAAAAAAGTCAAACATAATTAAAACCATAACAATATATACATGTAAAGATGAAAATGAACAAGCATGGTGTTCAAAGCTTACCCGCTTGAGATGAATTGTTTTCAGTGTCACTGCACACTCAGATAAAGCCTGTATAAACAAGTTTAAGAATTTAATAAAGTTAATTCTTGGTTATTGGTTATAGTTAATTCTTGGTTATCAAACTTCTCTTTTTACTTCCCTGACCACAAATCATTACCCTTTAAAGAAAGAAGGCAGGAAAGGATGGAATAAGAAGGTTGAATAGAAAATATAAAAACACAAAAATGCTGTCTCCATGTAGTGAATTATAATTATGAAATCTAGCTTTTACTTGGCTGTGGGGAAGTGAGTAAAAGGCAACTGCTTAACACTAAGCATACTGAAGATGAGATTTGGGAAAACCATCATTCAAGGAAGAGAAAGTTACTCTTAATAGTGAGAAAAAAACCAGTAAGTACCAGTTTTAGAATGAAAGCAGTAGTATGAAAAGAATAAAACTTTAAAGACTATTGGTATAATAGTATGTGCCCTTTCATGGTCCTAGAAAGTCTTGGTTATTAAAATTGTAGGAGCTGGATTTTATATATTCTATTTTAGTATTGGGATTTAGTAAGAATCCACAAAAGTTTCAGAGGTATCGTCAATCTCTTAAAAGTGAATCCTAATTTGAAATTACTAAATTAGAAGAAGAAAAAAAAGCAATGAAACCAAATAAAATCAACCTGGTATTGAAGAAGCAATTTTGAGTTAAAACACATAAGATCTACACAAGGTAAACAAAAATTCCTGGATGCTTACCAATACTGTTTGTGCATCTGCCAGGTCAAAGGTTTGTTTTAAAGGTGCTAGGAAACATGCAGGGACAATGTGCTTATAAACAAAGTCAGCAAATCCCACTGGTCCATCTTTACCACCTGTCAAGACAATTCAAATTTTCATCTTGTATAAAAAGAAAGCCAATTATAATTTATCATTGGGGGAAATTATCTATTTTGACGGCTAGGGTTCCATTTCATTTCTGAGAGTCTTAGGAAACAGGCTAGGGAATAAAGCTTAAAAAAATCATCTTACCCCAGAGTTCTACCAACTTGGAAAGGATGATAAAGCATGTTTTCTGTGCAATTGGATCTGGATATTCGACTGCTCCTTGAATCACAGTAACTAGAATTCTTTCTACATTCTCTACACCTGAAAAGGAAAAGAAAACCTTGACTTTAAGAACTGGAACGGCAACCTGAAGCTCTCATTGCATATATAGTAACCAGACAAAAGCATTTACAGAGTTGGTAAATTCCCTCAATTTTTATTAACTGTACTCCTTAATTTTAAGCATAAAATGTTGAAAAGTCACTATTCCCTTGTCTTCTTACCCACTGGATTTCCTATATTGCAAAATTATCTACACTGATCTATACAGTCTCATTTACTTTTAATTTGAAAATGGCAAATTGATCAGTAAGACTCAATTGTCAAGTCAATTCTGGCAGTAACAACCATGCTGTTGTTACCAAAGAACCAATTAAAGAATACTGCTTTAGGAAAAAGGGAACTGAATACCAATTAGTTTTAAGGCCCTCAACTTGAAAGCAATTCCCTCCTTGAAACAATGAGCACTCATCGTAGGGGTCCATATACAACAGCACTCCAAAAATTTACTGTTTACTTTAATTAGCTCTTGCTCACATAGATGCATAACTGTGACAAAGACGTCAACAGACAATTTAGGCATCACACACATCCCCACCTTGATTTGCTATGACTTCGCTCATTCCACTGCCTGTGACTGTTTGCAGGAAAGCAAAGTAACTCCTCCGCAACATTTGCTTCTCTAAAGCAGCAGACTGGTCATTTTCTTCTGCTGGTCGAAGCAACACTTCAAAAATTGCATGAAGTAGAGGCATGAACATTTGTTGTAAAAATGGAGATACCTGTATCTGAACATAAGAAATATTACTACTACTTTAGAAACTAGTAAGAAAATTATTATGAAGCTTAATAATCCTGTATTGCATATTTGAAAAATTTGCTAAGAGTAAATCTTAAAAGAAAAAATATTCTGAGACAATGTTTAGTGATGGCTGTTAAGTAGGCTTTTGCTATATTCAAATACTTGCTCTTTTATGTTGTGTATAACCTAAAACTAATATAATGTTGTATGTCAATTATACCTCAATTTAAAAAACTGTAACTTAGAAAAAAAGTGTTTTAAAGTCTTTCTTAAGAATTTCTATTTAGAATATTTACACAATTCACTTAGCAAATATCAGTTAAAACAAAATCTACATAGCACATACATTATTAAGTTCAACCAATTTCCTACAGTTCAAGATCCACGTTAAAATAGTAGGGAGCCAGATCCAGTTCTCCCTCAGGAAGGACATCGGTGTTGAGGAGACTATAACCACCATGTCTTCCAGTGCTTTGTCAAAACCTCAGATGCATGGCCAACATATTGTTGGAGCCATCATTGTATCCCTGGGGGTTGCAGCTTCCTGTAAGTTTGGTGTGGAATGAACCAAGAAAGGAGGCATATGCAGATTTCTACAGTTTTGATTCCATGCAAGATTTTGAGGAGATGAGACAGGCTGGTATCTTTCAGAGTGCAAAGTGATCTTGCTATGTAAAGAATTTCTTTGGGTTGAATTCCATGGAAGTTTGTCCCTGATCTGTGTTCCTGAACTATGAAACATGAGTATCTGAGCTATGGAATAGTTTCTCTTGATAAACAATTGAGAAGTAATAAGAAAAATAGTAGGGACCCAGAAATATTTCACAATCAAATAGTGCAATGGAATATTTTCAATTTAAATTTCAAGAAATTAATTCTATTGCTAAATTATAAATGGAGTTACATGCTTGGGCTCTCAGGCTTTATAAGCCACTGTGTAATTCTTAACTTCTCTGTGTCTGTTTCTTCATCTATAAAATACAATACTTACCTCCTAGGATCAAATGAATTAATGTGCAGGAAAATGCTTAAGACACATAGTGAACACAGAAAGCACTATGTGTTAGCCATTCTTATTAGCCAGCTTATACTTGACTTAAATCTCCTTGTACATAGAACCAACTTTATTACACGAAATTACTTTTAAACTCCTGTGTGGACACCCAAATTACAATGTTTTTTATTTACCTCTTTAGACAGATAGTACACAATACTGTTTTTTTTTTTCCTAGAACAGGAGAGTAATTGTTTTCTTCTGCTACACAAAACAGATTATGTATGTATGTTTTTATTAAAACATCTATTAAACATGTCCTATGTGTCAAGAAGTATTAGTAGGGGTGACAAAAATATACAATCCATGCCCACAAGTAACTCTTATTTACAAAAACAAACCAAGGGGGCAAATGTCAAAATGCAGGGTTTCCCCTCAAAATATACAACTGATAGCTCAATTTTGAAAATAAAATATATTTGAATAAGCACTGCCTATATAATTATTCAAAGTGTATGTATATACTTTTGGGGAACAATGTAATATTAATATATGTAAACATAAATATATCTAATCTTTAAGCCAGAGGAATATTTTTAAGGTAGGAGATGCTCTGAGGTTTGTAGTACCTTAAATTTGGCTGTAATCTGGTTGATAAGAGGAATGAACTCCTGAAGGTCTTTTGCTTCACAATCTTTCAGCATGTGTTCTGAGGCAGATGGGATGAACGGAAGAACTTCTTCCTCTAGGCAAATTATCATGCGATGAAGGAAAGTGCGAACTCCACTTCTGAGAATATCCTTTTGTAAGGGACAACTCAGAGCTGGCAAGAATGTCTGTAAACAGTCCAGATAAACTTCGGAACAGCCACATTGTTTCACAGTCTGCTTGTTACTGAAAGCTTTGCTGGTCCGACTAGATAAGTAAAATAAGGCAACTATTTTTAACACTATTCTTTAAAAATGTATGAAGTAAAAAAACAATGCATGACAAATTATAAAACTGGTCGACAATTCTAAATGAATGAGATGTAGTTATTATAAACCCTCTAATCTGAATCCATCTAAATGGTTTATTAAAATCCTACTGATAGCCGAGACCGGTTTGGCTCAATGGATAGAGCGTCGGCTTGGGGACTGAAAGGTCCCGGGTTCGATTCCGGTCAAGGGCATGTACCTTGGTTGCGGGCATATCCCCAGTAGGGGGTGTGCAAGAGGCAGCTGATCGATGACTCTCTCTCATCGATGTTTCTAACTCTCTATCTCTCTCCCTTCCTCTCTGTACAAAAATCAATAAAATATATTAAAAAATAAATAAATAAATAAGTAAATAAATAAAAATAAAATCCTACTGATAAAATATGCAGAAAAAAGGGGGGAAATATACTTACTATGACCCGGCTGTCCTACTACATAATCTGTAAACTACCCATTTAAATTTGGAAAACAATCTTTAGAATCAAGTTATTTCTATAACTCTCTAATATTAACTTTTGCATTGAAATATTCCATAGAGCAACTTCTTTCTACACCTTATAATAAGCAATCACTAAAACTTACTATATGCTGTTATTGTTTGCCAATAAAAGTTATGGGTAGAGAGAAAGAAACAGCAGCTTGGTGGTCTTCAGAACAGAATGCAACAGGTAAAAAGAAGTCTCAGGACCTTCTCTTTAAGATACCAAAACTGAACACCAAGATTTCCCAATCAGTAAACTACACTAATTAAAAAAAAACAAAAAAACATGCAAATTGACTGTCACTTCGTGACACCCAGGAGTGAGAAATGCAAATTAATCCCACCCCCCAGCAGCTCCAGGCCTCTGGGCAGCATGCATGTTGGCGCAGAGCAGCCGGGTGGGATGCCTGCTATTAGTGGAAGGGCGGGAGGCGGAGGGAGCTACAGGAGTGGATGTCCGGCTGGAGTGAAGACTGAAGGCTCCAGCCAGAGTGAAGGCCTGGGGCTCCAGCCAGAGTGAAGGCCTGGGTCCCAGGTGCTGGAGGAATACCTGTGCCAGCAGCTAGGGGAAGGCCTATTGCACGAATCTTTGTGCAATGGGCCTCTAGTTGATATATAAATACTTTAGCTAATCCCCTTAATCAATGTACATCAAAGAAGTCAAAGTTAAGGACTCAGTTGTCAAGACAGAAATGCAGACTTCAGCTAAGTCTTGTAATTCACTAGATTTAGAAAAGAAAGCTTAGATAATTCTCTAGACCAATGTTTCCCAATGTGTGGTACGTGTACCCCCTAAGGGTACAGGAAGAGTTTGGTGGAGGTACACGTTACACTGGGGTTTGGTGGGGATATGCACTGCACCATGCTTACCTGCACCTAATTCTGTGTTCTTATGAGTATGAGGGGTACTCAGCGTTACGAAAATTATAGAAGGGGTACACATATGTCAAAAGTTTGGGAAACACTGATGGGATCTTGGATATGTGCCCAATTCTAAAAGATGCAGACAAATAAATGGTCCATTCTGTGTAGAGACACTGACTTAATAGTTTTAACTCACCTGGCAAATCCAACAGCATGGTTGAGACAGTCTGCTAGAGATGCCTGCCTTTCTTCATCTTGTGCCAGCATCAATTTTTCTAACAAAATTTTAAACTTTTCCATTAGTGGAGTCAACAGATTCCTCATTAACGCTTGCTTCCGTTCTGCGGGGTATTCACTATTAACAATCAGCACTCCAGCTGTCTCATAAATAAATAGTTGATCATCGCTGCTCAACAAAGACTGGTAACCATTCTCCTAAAATAAAATTTAGTCTCACTGAAGTTTTTCTGTATTTAGGTCCACTCGTTTAAGCAAAGTAAGTGCAAAAGTGAGAGGAGACGTAATCTATGACATCAACTCATTATTAAAAAGTAGGGTGAGTGCTTATAAAAACAAATTTTCTCCCAAGATGATGTAACAGAAAGAAAACTGAAGTAGAGGTAAACAGATTGTGGATCTAATTCTTCCCTTTTCAAGACTTTGCAAATAGTCATGAGATAATTAGTAACCTTTTACTTTGTTTTCTCTTGTAAAACTCTTATTTGTAAGATTGTTAAGTGGCTGAAAATCAGATGTTCAAAGATATTTATTACGTTAGTACAAAGGCCACACAAGTTAATGAAGAGTGTTTAAGAGTTGAATAACAACCAAAACCACACAATAAATACATATGCACATTCACAACAGTTGTTACTTTAAAATGTTTGAAAATAAGACTGCAAATAAAAATCAGATCTCATTCAGGCATAAGAAGGCATCCCACATATGGGTCACTTTTATTGAGTTTTGTTATTTTTTTATGCAGTAGGGGAAGCCAAGAGGAGTATGGGGAAATATCAGAGGCCCTTTTAGGTCCAATACTCAAGCACCCTATTAAGAAATATATAAAACCTTGTGTAAAACCAGATAAATTATGTCATAGTTTTATTATTAAAAAATTTCTCATTTCTTGAAAAAAAAATTTCCAATTTAGAAATAACTAAAGCACTTTTTAAGTACCACTAAAACTAATCAATGCCAGAGGAGTTGAGAATACAAAGATAAGTGCTACAGAAATATAAGGTACCCAAAAACTGGGTCACTGTGAACTGCCAAGGAAAACTGGCAATAACCGGGTGAAGTACTTTAATATATCAGCTTTTCTAGTATGTAGGCAAAGATAATTTAACCACATAATCCACTACTGACCTTTCATGCAGTGAAATTACATAAGCTGTGTACCCTAAGTCCTGGTATTTACTTAAAAAAAAAAAAGTATTATTTTTGTTCAACACTTTTTAAATGGCAGCTCTAGTAATATTTTTTCAAAGTGGAAAAAATTGAGTCAACGTCAGTATTTTTTTTAAACAAAAACATGTATTAGTATCCATCAAGATGTGCTTATGAAGTATCCCAAATTAAATCTTTCTAGTGAAATGGACACCATAATATTAAGACTATGCAGCATCAAAATTTTTCTTATTCTAAGCCTGAAAAATTAAACACAGAAAAGCTTCAGTCTAATAGTAGATGTCACTGAGAAGGCCCAATATGATCATAGTACTAAATAATTTATAAACTGAGCCGAAACCGGTTTGGCTCAATGGATAGAGCGTCGGCTTGGGGACTGGAGGACCCGGGTTCGATTCCGGTCAAGGGCATGTACCTTGGTTGCGGGCATATCCCCAGTAGGGGGTGTGCAAGAGGCAGCTGGTTGATGACTCTCTCTCATCGATGTTTCTAACTCTCTATCTCTCTCCCTTCCTCTCTGTACAAAATCAATAAAATATATTTAAAATAAAATAAAATAATTTGGAAACTGAATTTTTCCTTCTTCATCAACATTTAACAGTATAGAGAAAGCAGATTATTTCTCACATTGTCAAATCTGCCCATTAATTCTGGCTTCTTTTCTACTTCTATTACTGTTTTATTGACTCCTAGAGCCCCGATGCATGAAACATGTGCAAGAGCAGGCCTTCACAGCCACAGGCGACTGCCTGGATCCCTCCCTCACAGCCATAGTGGGTTCCTCAATCCCGAGGCTGCAGCCCCAGCTTTGTCCGGAAGGACATCCAGAAGGATGTCTGGTCTAATTAGCACGTTAGGCTTTTATTATTATAGCTATCTCAACCATGTTAGTAAACAGAACTAACCCTTGCATACACCACCCTCATCTAAAAAAAGCCCATGAAAGTATTAGTGCTAAAGATATATGTGGCCTCAAAAATCTGTAATTTGTAAGAATAGATACTTACAGGTGGAGAAAGCTCTAATAAATCTTGTATTCTATTCAGAATATCCTCAATAAAAGGATTCATTTGTTTACTGAATAAAAGCAAAAAGAAAAATCACAATAACATAAGTAATAGTGCTTGAAAAGTTTCTAAAAATACTAAATCCCTCCATAACGCAGAAAAAAAAATTTTCAGTTCTAAGCTAGTTATATGTGATTAAAATTAATGATGATTTTTAAAAATTACAACCTTATAAGCCTAAGAATGAAATGTTTTCATGCCAAAAACTGGTACTACTAAAGAATATAAAACAGGTTAGGTTAAATATGTGTTCCCAATAAATATATTGTTTAGAATTTCAAAGAAGCCATATAGTACTGATGCATAGCAATAAAACTGTTGGTTAATTAATTACATAATGTTATTAGTGATCAATGTCACATGTACAAATATGCAAACAACTCACTTTTTAATAAATGAAGTAAATTAATGAGAATGAAAGGAAATCCTAAGATCATGATCCAAAAAAAGGAATACTTAAAAAAAATGCCTTAGAACAGAAAGAACCAAATCTATCACAGGCACTTAGAAGATAATTTATATGTTCTATTTAATAATCCTAAATATAAGAATAAAACACAACAGCTGAAATTTCGTACTTACTTGAGAGACTTGACAAATCTAGAAAACAGGTAAGCAGTTCTGCTCCGTACTTTTGCACTGGAATGCCGCAGCCCTCTGTGATCTAAGAAAGCCATCTAAAGAAACAGACACTTTTACTCTTGCTGCACTTATTTAAAACTCCTGCTGCTACTGTTGTGAAACACTTTTATCCATATCAAACATGTTTTTCTTAGCTTCTAGAAGGCAGGAGCCAGATACTATATATAACAAGAAAACTACCTAACACACGGATAGGTCCCAGAGGACTTATTTTAGGTGACTGATTAGACACAAATTTTTAATGGAAGAGGGATTAGTGTCAGTGCATTCAAGAGTTTCTGAGAATAAACAAACAAAGGAGTTTTTGAGAACCTCTGGCTGTGGAATAAGTTATAAAAGAAAAATAGAATACTATCTGCTCATTAGCTGAATGAAATACATGGGAAAATAACAAAACTTGACAGTAAGTAAAAGGTTTACTTACCAGTACACATGGAATGTGTTGAGGTTCAACTGTGAAAAACTTTTCATATCTAACAACAGTTTCAAAGAATTCCAATGTCACAGATGTATGCTGATAGGAACTAACTCCTGATGTTACCAACTGGAGCAAGAAAAAGTTAAGAAATTTATCCTTATTTATTGTAACATCAAAATGCCCCTCTTAGCAGATACCAAACTCTAACAAGAAACTCCCATTAGCTTATAGCGAAAACAGAAAATTATGTTCAAATAAATTATTTTCAATATACTTACAGTTCTCATCATATCCTGCAAAGCACTAGCTTTTGAAACATCACCCGAGAAGTGAGCACCATGAGATACTGGAAGAGCTTCTGCCAACATATACAGCAATCTTATTGCTACTTCAACTTCCATAAATCGTGTAGTCTGCCAATTCCTAACAAGGCATAATATGTTACTGAGATCTGAACAAACACTTTCTATACAAAATTAGTGATGCAAAGGATAAAAAGACACCAACAAAAGCCTTTTAAATTGTTAAGGAGTCGCAGATATTGTTAATTTTTAAAAAATATATTTTTATTGATTTCAGAGAGGAAGGAGAGGGAGAGATAGAAACATCAATGATGAGAGTAATTGATTAGCTGTCTCCAGCACATGCACATCCCCCTCCCTCCTCCCACTGGGGATCTGGCCCATAACCCAGGCATGTGCCCTTGACTGGAATCGAATATGGGATCCTTCAGTCCACTAGCTGATGCCTTATCCACTGAGTCAAACCAACTAGGGCAGATATTGTTAACTTTGCCAGGCAATATAATGTATACCAAAAAGTAGAAATAACTGATGCTATCCATTTTATTATTTATGTTCTAAAGAGCAGTGTTTCCTCTCAAAGATCAAGAAAAATCAAGATAAGTGCATTGTCTTAAGACTCCACACATAAAATCTTAATAAGTCACACAGATTAATAAAGTAGTAAATCAACACAGGGAGAAAAGGAAAGAGATGACTTGTTACCAAAACAATAACAAACTTACTGCAGTGTAGAACTAAAAACTCTACGAACAGAAGCCAGCAGTAATTCTGGTGAAACTTGAGCAAGCCTGTCCAACAACAACTTCAATTGTTTCCTATATTCTACAAACATGGCTTCATCTTCACCCTATGATGGATTTTAAAATTCTCATTTTAAAAACATAAAAGACCATAAAACTCATGTAAAGGTGAACTGTCATGTTAGTTTTCTGGACTTACAAATTTAATACTTTCATTTATTTCATCAATATTCAGGTATACATGAAAACTTACGAGGCTTAAACCTTCCCGCCCTGCTCACAAATAAGTGCTTCTGAACATAACCCTAGATCTTGAAAGCCAGAACAAGAAACAGTACTGGAAGAAAATTACGGTTAAAAATCTAGTCAGAAGAGGTTCACATTGGGTTTTTGTGAGTACTTCAGCACCTTATTTATACTGCTATTACAATTACCACTGTAAAAACTGTAGTATTGTATGATAGAAGCTATTACCGGTAATGAGCCTGGCACTTTAAGTACACAGTGTGTTGGTTATCATCACCATTATCCTTTAATAGTCCAAAGTTTTTGAATACCCAAAGAAAGAAATAGGACACTAGCACACAACTAAACAGTATTACATCGTGACTGATTTACTAGAAAGCACCTGATGACATTGTGTTTGATGGGAAGCTGACTCTCTAGCAATCCTAGACAAGATTTCTAATCAGAACAAGTCCAGGACGTTAAATACCTCATTCCCACTCTCCCATACACATTTATAATCTGAGGTCCACCAACTGGGCCTCAATTTACCACTCTTATTAAATATAAAGAAAGATAAGATCACTAAAAATATTGTCAATATTTTATGAAGATAAATGCTATGAAATGTTTAAAAAAAAAACAAACCAAATGTGAAGGATTATGAGGCTTCCGTTAATTCTACCTAAAGTTAATATAATCAGGCTAATTTTTAAAATAGAGCTTGTTTTAAAGGACTCTAAAATAATCAAAACTTGAAATTTTAACATGATGTAAGTAATCAATGAAATTAAAACTGATTTCTCCTCAATGAAAAAGTCTTACCTCATTTTCAAAGTTATATTCCTCATCATAAGTCAATTTTTTCATAACGGCCAACATGATTGCCTATAATTAAGAATAAAATACCTTTTGTCAGTCTTTTTTAATTTCATAAAATTAGAAGTTAAGCTATATTTAAAGGCAGTTTAAAAGAAGCAAAAAGAAGTCAGTTACCTCTACATTAGCTTTTTGCTGATCCGAGAGCACTGAAAGCTGTTAAAAAGTAAGCAATAATTTATTAGGTTTCCTAAAGTTATACTCATCAGAATATTTTTCTAATAGATTAACATTTTAAAAAACATGCACACAACTTTTCTGGAGGGAAGTTTGGCAGCTCCTTTCTGTACAGGGTGGGGCAAAGTATATTTACAGCTGTTCATATGGGAAATAATACGGTAATTAATAATAACACAAGAATAAACTCTGTGTTCTGCGTACTCACAACTGGAAACCTACTTTTGTCTCATCCTGTATTTAAAATGAACCTAAGATCTAGCAATTCCATTTCTAGTAAATAACTTGATATGCAGGCAAAGACATATAAATAAATTTGATTTTTAAAGATACTTATAATGTTTTCAGCAAAGAAGTAGTTTATAGGACAGTAAAGTATGATCTTGCCTTGTTTTTAACAAGGCAAAAAAGGCTTAAGAAGCCATTATGAGATACACAGCAAGATTACCAATAATGACCTGAACTTTCCTCATACTCTCCCCGTTGCCAAAAATGTCTTAAAGTATGCATAGAGACATGTTATATTTATACAAACAGAAGCTAAACTCAGTGTAGAAAGAAAATTATTTTAAGCTTGACTTGATTAAACTAATCCAATAAAATAAGACTGGTTCTCTCACCTAATGTAATAAGAAGTTACTAATTCTTAAAAAGGCTAATACCCTCTACATTTTAAGTTCTTATTGAAAATAATTCTCTGGGGGAAAATTTAATTATACAAAGATTATTTATATTTAATTAATGTAATAAATTATGTTTAACAACATATTTACTGTATTTAGAATTAAATATGATCCAAAAATTTAATAAAAGTAACCTAAACCTATCATTAATTCTGAAGCTATTATTAGTCTTATGAATTTTAGAACTTGAAAATCTGTTTTCTGGCAAAAGGTTTAAAAAGAAAAGAAAAAGGAAATACTTTAATATTTAACAGTAAATGTCATTAGATGTTAAAATTAGGGCTATTTTCATTTTCCTGTTATTTTCCAATTCTTTGTGACTCTTCTATATTATCTACTGGACAAAAAGTTAAAATAAAGACTTACTTGTTTCAAAATATGAAGATAATCATAACAAAATCCAATAATGTTAGATGAGATATCATCATCCTCATGAATTAGTAGCTGCAACATCAGTGCCACTTTTGTTTCAATAGCTTGTAGTGCCTCTTGAGCATTCTTGATATCCCCATTCTTAATTAATTTAGTCCAGCTAACTATCAATGACTGTCCCATTCCATTTACCAGTTTAGAAAATCTGGCAAGGAAGTCGACATCTTCTTCCTGAAAGAAATCAAGGCAGTCCTCAATTTAAAATCACACACCTGCCGAAGCCGGTTTGGCTCAGTGGAAGAGCGTCGGCCTGGGGACTGAAGGGTCCCGGGTTCGATTCCGGTCAAGGGCATGTACATGGGTTGCGGGCACATCCCCGGTGGGGGGTGTGCAGGAGGCAACTGGTTGATGTTTCTCTCTCATCGATGTTTCTAACTCTCTATCCCTCTCCCTTCCTCTGTGAAAAATCAATAAAATATATTAAAAAAAAAAAAAGTACGATGAAAATGAACAATTATAACCAAGTCTAATTTTGGTCAAAATGCACTGTCATGTAAATATCGTCTCTTGCTACAAGTATGGTTTGAGGACCAGTAGTATCAGCATCACCCAGGACTTTGTTAGAAATAAACAATCAAAGGTACCATCCCAGATTTTCAAGTTTGAGAACTGGTATAATCCATTGCCTAAAACAAATGCTACAGAAATATTATGGCTTTTATGATACAGTGTTTTATTATTATAATCTCAAGGGGAGTTTCCAACATAAAAAAAAAAAGGAAGAAAAAGAAAGCATATTTAAATTACTACCTAATCTGTATTACTACCTATCCTATAGAAAGTTTGCTCTAACCATTTAAAAAACTTTATATATAAATTTACTGACCTGGTCAATGATGAAAAACCCAGCTGACTGTAATACTTGACACAAAGATTCTACTAATTTCATTTTATCAACCGGATCCATTCCTTTATTTACAATTTCAAATAAACAGTCACATGCTTCTTCCCGTAGAACTTCTATTGACATATGACCTAGCAGCATATTTATAAACCTGGCAATGGAATAAAATGGTTGTTTTCAAACTGATGTATTTTGCTGGCTAATATTTTAAAAATAGACTTATACTTACCTATCATTGGCTATAAGGGATAAGTCTATCCAAGATACATAAGCCCCAACTACTTCAAGGCACTGACATGTCACTTCCGAATTAGTATACTGATAATTTTGCAGGATTTGGTACCATGATTCCACCAAGTTTGGAATGCACTGTTCCCTCATGGTATCTTTTATTAGGGTATTTCTACGAGCCTCCTAAAAACAAAACAAAACAAAACAAAACAAAACAAAACAAAACACCTTATACGCAATCAAAGCAGAGAACCTCGCAAAATAATGTTTGACATCTGAATAGTTGCACAAAGTAATTACCTCACCCCTAAACTTCCAGACTTTCAACACATTTCCTATTTATCAGCTAAAATCATACCCGGTGATTCCTTCTATTTCCTCTTTCCATTCTATTCCTCTGTGCCAAACTTGATCTATTAAACATAAACTATAAATAAGCATTACTTAGAAATCTTAAGTAATTAAATATTGCTCAATATTATACAAACATGATGTTTCAGTTAAAGAAAATGGCAATAAATTAAATGCATGAAAATAACCTTTATAAATGCTTGACATACAATGAATTTAAAGTTATTATAAACACTTGAATTAAGCTATTTCTGTTTTGTTCTTTATAAGGAGACAGAGCCCTGGACAGTAGCTTAGTTGATTAGAGTGTTGTCCCAATACACCAAGGTTGTGGGTTTGATCTCTGGTGAGGGCACATACAAGAATGAACCAATGAAAGCACAAATAAGTGGAACAATGAATCAATGTTTCTTCCTCTCTCTTTCCCTCCCCTTTTGCCCCCTCTTTAAAATTAATCAATTAAAAAAAAAAGATTATATCAGGTCACGAACTATAAAAGGCAATGCACTATGTGACCGAGAATACAGAAGAACCCAGCATTGATTCATAAGCAATGCTTCTTCCTCAGTCAGTGACTACACAGCAGTAGTAAATATAGATCACATCCCTACAAATTCACAGGAGAAAGTGCTCACCTAGTTTAAAAAAAAAATCTAAATATTTTAATTTTAACCTACTTGGGGGAAAAAATTTAAGTTCCTTTGTAAGACAAAATTCAAAATGCTGGGTAAATCTATAATTATTCTTTAAAAACTTTATCTAAAAAAACCTTATGCTCCTATTATTATATGCCCATTATCTCCTATAAAATATATATTAAAAACTAAAAATTAGGCCCTGACTGAATAGCTCAGTTGGTTCAAGTGTGTCCCAATATGCCAGGGTTGTGGGTTCAAAGACTGGTCAGGACATACATAAAAAGCAATCAAAGAATGCATAGATAAGTGGAATAATAAATTGATGTTGCGCTCTCTCTCTCATATCAATAAATAAAAGAAAAAAACAAAACAAAACCTAAAAACTAATGAAAAGTTACTTGCCTCTGATGTATGCACTACATCACGATCCACCAACTCAGAATCAATAGCCATGAGGATTCGGAGGTACAGATCTACTCCCCTTGGATTTAGGTCCACTACTGAGAGAATGTCAAAAAAAAACTTGGGCCATTTAGTGAGATATTCTGTAACAAAAAGCAAGGCGAAGACTTGGGCTGCTTTATTTCGTATAAAAGTCTTCTCTGGTTGAGGATTCAGCATCTGACAATAAGAGAAACAGTCCGTAAAATTAAATATAAATTGAAGTTTCAAATACTTGGTTTTTCTATTTATCATTAATAGGCAAAAAAAAAAAACCACACATCAAACTTCAACATGATATAGATTAGCTGTGCAACAAATATGCTTAAAAATGACCAAAGTATTTAAGCAACTGAGCAAATGGGGAATAACCAAATGAACAAAGGTGCTAATGGTTATTTGTTGTTCTCAAACTTTATTTTTTTCCATTCTGACACGTTTAGAGAAAAGTTACAGGCATAGTTTATCAGTTCCTATTAATTTTCTGAGGGAAAAAATTCAATTATTTTTCTTCTAGCTGCTTGCTCTTTACAGGAAAACAAAATTTCTAACTATACAACTGCTATATATATATATATATATATATATATATATATATATATATTCAACCAAATTAACAAATAAGAACATACTATGAATTAAGAACTTGACTGGCCATTTTGAAATGGGGTCTTTGTGAAGAGGATGTCCAGGAGGACTAATTTTTATGTGTGTTTCTTTTTTCTTTTTCATTTTTTATCATTAAAAAAGCTTCAATTATAGTTGACATTCAATTTTATTTAACTTCAGGTGTATGGCATAGTAGACACTTTTGTAATTTACAAAGTGATCCCCCTTGATTAGTCTAGTACTCAACTGGCACCATACACAGTTATTACAGTACTAGAGGCTCTGTGCACAAAATTTGTGCAGGGGGGCGGTGGTGATGTCTCCTCAGCCCAGCCTGCACCTGCTCCAATCTGGTACCCCTTGTGGTATATCTGACTCCAGTTTAGCCTTATCCCAGGGATCGGGCCTAAACCGGCAGTCAGATATCCTTCTCACAATCCTGGACTGCTGGCTCCTAATTGCTCACCTGCCTGCCTGCCTGGTTGCCCCTCCCTGCCCCGCTAATGGCCTGGTTGCTCTACCCAGCCTGCTATTCAATCATTTGGTCATCCGTCACTAATCCCCCTGCCTGCCTGGTCATAGGCAGCCATCTTGTGAGGATGTGAGGACCAATTTGTATATTACCTTTTTATTATATTGAAGGATTATTGACTATATTCCCTATGCTGTACTTTACTTCCCCTTAGGAGGAAGCTCACCTTTAAGAGTAAACAGAAAAGCCACTTTTGTCAAGCAGTAAAAAACAACAACAAAAAAATACCTTTTAAAACCAAGGTTTCCACAATGTTTCAGTTATTCATACAGCTTAAAATTATTGCTAAGCTTTCATCTACCCATGATCTTCAAAACCAGTATTTTCTAAGAAAGCTACAGGATGAAATGGAGGGTAAATGATCCATATTTTTAACATAAAGTTGCAACGCTTGCAAAAATAAAAGTTTAAATACCTGGCAATTTGAGGTACTAAATGAAATTACAATTTTACCTGAGCTTGAAGCCAAGATATGAGCGTCTCCCTAATTAGTTGCTGTTGAACAGTAGTTAGTTCTGAATATCTGTTCAAAATAGATAAGAAAAATAATAATGGCTATATTTGCAGTTTTAAAAAATAAGAACCTCATATATTTGAAAAGGAAAATTTGTATAGCACTCAATTATCTGAAGTTCTCTAAAATAAATTGATAATGCCTCTCTCTCATCACTTGCTTTAAGGAAAAAGGATAGGTGTGGCAGTGGGAGATGGAGTATCAATATTGTTATCAGTTTAATTTGTGGTAGGTTCACGTAGAAAAAAACGGCAGCTACACAATTTTTTCAAATGGAAGTCCATCTTCTGAGATCTGTGGTTTACAGAATAAATCAATACACAAACGAAAAACCCTCTGAGCTATGACTCATTGTTTTCACTTAATTAAAGCAGGGGTTCTGAATACAAGTGCCCATGCTGCCACTCAAGTCTAACAGAGAGCTGCCATATAGAGCACAGGCTGGTGTTGCTACATCTTCTGATATTTTCAGAGAAACTGGAAACCTATTGGTTTCCCTGTAAAATTTTGGATATTTATATGTAACCAACAAATTCGGTATTATTAAAACACTTTGGGTCAAATCAAAATACAGCTATAATATAAACTGAATGTCACACATTCACTGTTAAATTACAACCTGTATTATGATTTCCTAAAAAGGGAAAAACTAATTTTTTTAATATATTTTATTGATTTTGTACAGAGAGGAATGGAGAGAGATAGAGAGTTAGAAACATCGATGAGAGAGAGTCATCGATCAGCTGCCTCTTGCACACCCCCTACTGGGGATATGCCTGCAACCAGGGTACATGCCTTTGACCGGAATCAAACCCGGGACCCGTCAGTCCCCAAGCCGACACTCTATCCATTGAGCCAAATTGGTCTCAGCGGAAAAACTAATTTTTAAAAAACAGCCTCTCCCCACAAACTTCAGTTATGCAGTGAGAAAAAGACTTACTTATATTTAACTTGATGTTCTAAAACTTGAAAGCAGAAAAACTTGATGTGATCATCACTAGGAAAAAAAGAAAATAAGCAGAATATGAATTGGGGAAAACAAATCAAAGATAAAATATTTAGTTATAAAATAGTTTAAAAGTTTCTCAAAACAGACATTTGGCTTGCTTTTTACTTACTGATCTCATTTATTACATTCTTATCTATTTGTTTAAAATACTAAGAGCATTTTAAATATTATACAATATTCGACATTTCCACCAAATCTGGCAAGCAGAACAACCAAACAAATTAAAATACACCTTAAGTATAGTACTTTGCAAACAGATGACACACACCCTAAATTCCAGATGTTACGATTCCTGGAACAACTCATAAAGGCGAGGTGTTAAAATGACAAATAGTAGAACTGCCAGAGACTGTTAAATCAGAGTTGTTCATCAAAGTCATACTTAAAATTCAACCACAGGCAGTTCTACTGCAGCCAAATCCAAACAATCGGTATCACCTGACTGACAGTCTAGCCTCAAATGTCATACAGAAAACCAAGGTACAAATATATTGCCCTTACAAAAGGAGAGCAAAAATCAGTATCTATCAATTATTGACTTTCACTTGTCTCTCTAGGGGTGAGCCAGAGTTGCAGTGAGCTAGCTACAAACTCTGACAAAGTCCCTTTAGTGAAGAAAAATCTATTCATCCAAGATAGTTAGTTAGAGCCAGGATTAGTCATAGGAAAAAATTTTCATATATAAAGCTAACTGGTCACTACAAGAATGGAGATGTTATCTTTATTTAGACATTTAGACAACATGAATTAACCAAATAAATAAAACAATCTTTTTTTTTTTTTTGTGAACATTTTATTGATTTTTTACAGAGAGGAAGGGAGAGGGATAGAGAATTAGAAACATCAATGAGAGCGAAACATTGATCAGCTGCCTCCTGCACACCTCCTACTGGGGATGTGTCTGCAACCAAGGTACATGCCCTTGACTGGAATTGAACCTGGGACCTTTCAATCTGCAAGCCAATGCTCTATCCACTGAGCCAAACTGGTTCCGGCTCCTTTGGTGTGTTTTATTTATTTATTTTTTATTTTATTGATTTTCTTACAGAGAGGAAGGGAGAGAGATAGAGAGCTAGAAACATCAACCAGCTGTCTCTTGCACACCCCCTACTGGGGATGTGCCCGCAACCAATGTACATGCCCTTGACTGGAATAGAACCTGGGACCTTTGAGTCCGCAGACCAACGCTCTACCACTGAGCCAAACCAGTTTCAGGTTGTGTGTTTTTTTTAAATCCTTACCCAAAAATATGTTTTCATTGACTTTGAGAGAGATGAGGGAAGGAGGGAAAGAAACATCAATGTCAGAAACCTTGCTATCGCTCCAACCAGGGATCAAAACTGACATCTTTTGGTATATGGGATGATGCTCTAACCAACTTAACCACCTGCCGGGGTTGAAACAATCTTTTAAGAGATTTTTAAAGTTAGGTTTATTTAGCACCACTTCTAATACCTTAGGGTTTTTATCCTTATCATGGATGATATTGAAGCCTTAAACTAAGTATAGAAGACTTAAATTTTCCATTCAAAAAGTAAACTATAAGAAGCTTTTAATTAAGAGCTGGACCTTGCCAAAACCGGTTTGGTTCAGTGGATAGAGTGTCGGCCTGTGGACTGAAGGTCCCAGGTTTGATTCCGGTCAAGGGTGTGTACCCTGGTTGCAGGCACGTTCCCAGAGGTGCGTGTGCAGGAGGCAGCTGATCGATGTTTCTAACTCTCTCTCCCTTCCCCTTTTTCTCTGTTAAAAAAAAAAAAGAAAAAAAAAAAAGCTGGTCCTTATTTAGTCTAAGATTTATATATGCTCTGAAAAGCAATTTTTTCAATAAACTGGAACACTTGGTTTTGCCTATAAAAACGTAGTAACTAATACCCACAGCATGCGGAAAACTCCGCTAGGAGTCATCACTAGCCTCCAGGAACTTCTACTCACAGAAGCAAGTTGTTTGCTTATAGTGGGTCAGTTGTTTCCCAACGTCTCACTATGCCTGCTGCACCTCTTTTGTAATTAAGTAACTTAATGAACTATTATATAAACTAATGAGCATGATACGCGTTCTTATTTTTGTAAAAATCAAGTTGAAAGCTTTCAAAAGAGTTCGTAGGAAGTCACATTGCAGGGGGAAATACATGTAATGTGGGTTAGATAACCATAAGACTTGAAGAGAGGGGGATAAATAACTAAAAAGTTCAGGAACCTGCAGTCATTATTCCTCAATGTAGAGGAAGGATTATGGGTTTGATCAACGTAAGAATGACAAAGTGAGTGCTAGTAGCATGTACACAAAGAAAAGACCTCGGTCCAACATCAAGATTGGTAAGTGAGTGCTTGATTCAGCAGCTCTTTTACTAAAATAGGAACAATACAGCCCGGCTGGTGTGGCTCAGAGGTTGTATATTGACCCAAGAACCAGAAATCTCTGGTTTGATTCTTAGTCAGGGCATATGCCCAGGTTTTGGGTTTGATCCCCAGTGGGGGCCATATAAGAGGTAGCCAATTGATAACTTCCTCTCTTATTGATGTTTCTCTCTATCCCTCTCTCTTCCTCTCTCTAAACATCAATAAAAATATATTTAAAAAATATATATTATATATATAGGAACAATAGAGAGATTAACAGGGTCCCTGCATAATGACGACACACAAATTCATAAAGAGTTCCATATTTTAAATAAAGATTGGTAATTGAATGCTTATATACTTTAAACTAAAATAAAAAATTAAGATTATAATTTGATTACCTCTTTTACCAACTCTTTAGAAAACCAACTATCACTCACATCATAAGAAAATAAGAAAATTTTGCCCTAGCCAGTTTGGCTCAGTAGATAGAACATCGGTCTACGGACTGAAGGGTCCCAGGTTCGATTCTGGCCAAGGGCACATGTCTAGGTTGCAGGCTTGATCACCTATAGGTGGTGTGCAGGAGACAGCCAATTGATGATTCTCTCTCATCACTGATGTTTCTATCGATATAGCTATCTCCCTCTCCCTTCCTCTCTAAAATCAATAAAAATATATTTTTTTATAAAAGGAAATAAGGAAGTTTTAATGTACTACATTCTAGTCCGGATATGCTGTCAGGTGCACACAGCATGAGGCAAAGGATAGTTCTACTGAAAAGTCAATCCTGGAAGGGCCAAATTATTAATTTACTATTTTTCTCATTTCTACACTAAATGATTTCCCAAAACATAGGTCATAAAATGTTTTTATGAAAGCATTCTCCAAACACAGGTAAATTTGAATCCTGTCAAGTTCACAGAAATTTAAATTGTAAGAATCATGCAAATTTTGTTTTAGTTACCTGTATGTCCTCTGGGCCAGAGCCTCTGCACACACCTGCCAGGCATCTGGGGAGATCTTTAATTGCTCAAAATAGGCCAGGGCCTGTAAGAGGAAAAGCAGAAATGCTTTTGTAATGTCAATCCCAATGCCCTGTCAACACTAAACAAATATTCTGTGAATCACAAACCGGTAATAAATCAGTGAATCTAAAGAAAAGTAGCTGAAACTTTGCATTGGGGCTTCTGAATTTGTGCCACTTAATGACTTTAGAGAAAAGATTAAATAGAAAACAAATCCATCAGTTAGAATGTCGAATCTGTTTCCTCACAGCAAAGGAAACAACGCAAAAAAGTCCTTCACATCTCATTGGATTGTTAGGAGGCTCAAGAAGTAAAACATACAAGTACTCATAAAATGCAAGTAAAATGATATATAAAGGGTGTTTTCCTATTTCATAGCAAATATGTCATTAAAGAGGTGACTATAAAAGATAAAACATATTGTATGCCATTTGGTTTAATTAAAAGGACTATTTCAATTCAACTATATCATGTAAGTTCCCTAAAATGTGAGATTAAAATCAGAGTACAACTGTATGATATGAATTTTGAGAAAGTATCATACTCAAATAATTGAAAAGGTCAAAGCTTTAGGAAATAACTAAATCATTTATCATCCCTCTATTTATGCATTCAGGGCCTTGTTCTAAGAGCACTAAGTCCATGTGCCTCTATCCCACGGTTGGGAAATGGGGAGTGACTTCTGCCACTCTTCCATGCTGTAAATGGCATCAATGACAGATGCAGGTTTCACATTTGACAATGGACAAATAGTAATCTGAACAACTTATGAAAAGTATCTCAAACAGCCAAAAATTTACACATACACTAGAAACATTGCTAGATGATTTTTTTTTAACATGTTAAATGCTCAGCTTGTTTTGTCTTCCGGACAGAAAGTATAGTGTCAGTCACTGGTGACTGACTGCTTAAGGTGGTAAAAAGTAGTTTATTGATTTTTAGAGAGAAAGGGAGAGGGAGGGAGAGAAATATGGACAAGAGAGTGCAACATAGTTCTGTTGCCTCCTGCATGATCCCCGGTGGTAAAGCTCACAGTGCCCTGCCTGGGAATCTAGCAGGCAACCTTTTGGTGCATAGGACAATGCCCAACTAACTGGGCCACATTGGCCAGGGCCAGTGATAGATGATTTTAAAGTACTTACATACTGATACAATCCTTGAAATTAATTAGAAGGAATATTAAGCTTTAGTAAAACCTAATTTTGATTAGTCAATATTTTTATTTATTTTTGTTAAATTTATTGGGGTGACACTGGTTAATAAAATTATATCAGTTTCAAGTATATAATTATAATATATCATCTTGAAAATGTTTGTGCCCTACTAGTGTTAAAAATAATTTTATCAGTTTACTATAGAAGTTGTAAAATTGAAACAATAAAAATATCAGAGTGCACCGCACTTAGCAAGAATAACTACTATTTTGTGTAACTTGTTTTAGTTATAATGTTTATATGTATTTATTTACATACATTTATGTATCTACATATATACTGGGTCAAGATGTAAAATTATTCCTTTGGATTAAAGGTTAAAAAAAAAAAAAAGCAAAAAACCCCTGCTTTTTAGGTGATAGTCTCCTGTATTATGTAACTACATGAATGAAGGAATGAGTTTTCATTCGTGGTTTCAGTTAACAGAGAACCAAAGTAATGAAGATGAGTAGATGAAGATCACCAAATACTACCTAAAGTATAAATAATATCTTTAGGAACTACGAATATAGGAATCTAAGCAGCTGCAAAAGAATCTAAGCAGCTGCAAAAGAATCTACCTAAAGTATAAATAATATCTTTAGGAACTACGAATATAGGAATCTAAGCAGCTGCAAATGACAAAAATCACTTGTCATTTAACAATATTTCATAAAATCTAGGGTTTCCTTTACAAATATCTCAAAGGCCAGGACAGGTGATAAGGTGGAAGTTAATCATGTAAGTTGCATTACCACTTATTAAAAAAAGGAGGGTGAATTCAGCTGGTAGAACTGTTACTGACATACCACTCTTGAAATAACAGCAAGTTTTAAGCCAAAGAAAAACATTCTATTCACACATTAAAAAGTGAGTCAATAACTAGAAAGTTTTCAGTTTTAAACTAGTCTTTACATTCTAAATTCCTGTTAATAGCATTAAAAATTTTTTTTTCTGGCAATGACGAACAAGTCAAAGCTTTTATCATGTTGTTGTTCTATCTTATACCTTCTTTCTAAGGGCCTATTGTCTCTAAGTGCCAACAGAGATAAATTAGCTCCTTTTATTGCCCATGCAGAAAACAGAGAACTAGAACTGAGAATGTGGGTTGGCAGTCATTTCCTTACCACCAAGCTGAATTAGATCCCCACTACTGAACTCTAACATCAGGGCTATCAGAACTCATTTTTCCTTAAGACTTGTCCATTTCCATCCTGTTACTCAGGCTGGCTGAATGTGATATCAAATGAAGCCTAGGTCACATATGCCTGATTGAAAGAACCCATTTTTACTGACGAAAAGCGTAACTTCTATATATTAAAAACACTAACAATTTCTTGGTTTTACTTTTCTGAAAAGAAAATCATGACTTTTTTAAAAAAATATTTTTTAAATAACATCTGCGAGAGGAAGGGAGAAAGATAGAGAGTTAGAAATATCAATGATGAATCACTGATTTGCTGTCTCCTGCACATCTCCCATTGGGGATGGAGCCCACACCCAGGTATGTGCCCTGACAGGGAATAGAACTGTGACCTCTTGGATCATGGGTGGATGCTCAACCACTGAGCAATACCAACTGGGTAATCATGGGACTTTTTAAAAAATCTGATAGATGGTGGAATTTAATTAAAAAAAAAAAATACATAAAAAGTTTTTACACAGAAGGCTATTAACTAAAACTCTTAAAGCTTTTATTACAATAACCATGCAATATCAAGCCAGAATCAGGTAAACATCCAGGATACTTCAACTATGTGACTAAGGGTTTAAAGATGGGCAGCTTAAACTCCAATGAAAACAAGTATTTGTCTGCATAAACAAGACATAGACTTTTAATGTCTTTTCATGTCCTAACCAATTGGATATCTTGTAGTTAGCTAGTTATTTAAATCTCAATTCCTGTTATTTCCCTCTAGCTTAGGGCTGGCCACTTAACAGCAGAGGCATGCACAGGCACTATGATAGAAAGTACTTGAAATTTTTTTACTACTTAAGAAAATTTCTGCTTAGCCCTGGCCAGTGTGGCTCAGTTGGTTGAGTGTTGCTTCCTGTACGGAGAGGTTTGTTTGATTGTTGGTGAGGGCACATGCCCCGCTTGCAGGCTCAATCCCCACTAGGTGGGTGTGCAGGAGGTAGCCCATTGATGTTTGTTTCATTGATGTCTCTCTCTCTTCTTCTCCCTTTCTCTCTCTCTAATTAAAAAAAAATTCGCATTTTTAAAAATTTCTGCTTAAAAGCACAACTAAAAGTGCTAACTTTTAGTGAGATTATTAACCTCATTTAAAACTATAAAAGACTAGAGGCCCAGTACATGAAAATACCTGCACTGGAAGAGGGGTCCCTCAGCCCGGCCTGCCCCTTCTCACAGTCCGGGAGCACTCAAGGGTGGGAGGCGACCTGCCAATCAGGGGAAGGTAACATCCATCACACCGCTGCTGCTGCCACTGCTGGCAGCGCAAGCCTCGGCCGGCCAGGGCGGCTGGGCAGCTGCCATCGGAGGCTTGCCTACACCTCAGGCATCAGCTGGGTAGCCACTGTCTGAGGCTTGCTAGCGTTTTTGGCATTGGCTGGGAAGCCGCCATCAGAGGCTTGCCTGTGCCTCGGGCTGGCCCTGGGCGGCTGGGGGGCTGAGGGAACAGGGTGCCGCCATCTTTGAGGGTCAATTAGCATATTCCCTCTTTATTAGACAGGATATCCTTTCCTATGAGTAGAATGAAGAAAGAAAATGCCTCTCCTCCCACTTATCCTAAACTTCAAACTGCCCACACCTTTAAATATTTAATTATAGGCTTGTTCTTTAGATGTTTCTTTTATCATCATAAAAGTCATAATTATAGGTGTAGACTACATTATGTTTCATTGTTAATGTTGACCCAAATATCCGAGCATTATTTAATATTGGATTCCTTGTCATATGATCACTTTAAGCTAGGATATGGCATATCATAACTACTCATTTACATGTCTGCCTGGACTAAATAACAAGGATGTTAAATATCACTAATGTAAGGGTTAAACAACTTGTGTAGACCAATCCATGCAGTGGGAAAATAAAATATGTATGTTTGCTACTATGGAAAGTCCCTTAACTAATCCTTTGTATTAAAATTGTAAAGTAATTACCAATGATTAGCAATGTGTCATAAACACCTACCTTGAATCCCATGAGATTTTAACACTTGTTGAGGCAACTTAACAGAAAATAAATCACAACCCTCAGTGTTTCTGTATTCAGAATATATTCAGATACCTCAAATTATATTATCTCTATTCATTTCTACCCAAATTAAACCTGTATCATTAGATGTGTTTTGTATTCAAGTCCTCTAATGCAAACCTGTGGTAACATGGTTTTAAAAATTAAGCAAACTTAACTTACCCTTTGTCGGAAGTCTGAATCAGCATTTGGATTTAGCCCTAAAAGAGCCTGTTCATCCATCCCTGCTGCTATACTTGGGGTTTTCTGGTTACAACAGACGTGCCCTCTAATCCAACAGAAGAATCCACAAACATCTGGACACACACACACACAAAAAGGAAAGAAAACAATACTTAATATAAATAGATGTTTATCCAGAATATTATAACAAGTAACATTATGCAAAGATACTTGTGTTTTTAAAAAGCTTCTTTTGAAATTATCCAAATTATAAAAGAACCTAGTGTCTCAAAAAAATGAGCCTGCTAAATATTCCACAAATGTTTAATTTCTAAAAATTCAAAGTATGCCATTAAGGTTCTCAAATTTTCTTCTTTCAAGATCATCAATAAAGTATAAAAAAGAATTTTTTTCTACTTGAAATAGAAGCATCTAATTTATGAAATGTTATGTACTATCTTCAGTACATACTTAAAAATGCAATTGTGCAACTATATGAAACAGTGACAAACCCAGATTATGCTAATTTTAATAATTTGCCTACTTCTCTTTATCAATATCACAACCTTAAAAAAAAGACTAGACTGCCTGGCTAAGTAGTACCTCAGAGTTCAATACCCTTACTGGAGTGTCTACAAGTACTTCAAGAGAAGTCAAATGTGAAGAGAAGAAATAGGAGTGAAAACCTGGCAATTTAGCTTTTGAACAATGGCTGACCTGCCTTTTACAGATCACTGCTCTTCCCAGTCAATTTTAGAAATGTATTTCAAAAAGTGTTTTTTAATAGCTATAAAAATTGACAAATACTATCTTTAAGAATATTTTTAAGTCTCCAGAAAGCAATGACTTTTTCATAAAATAGTGTTTTAACATTCTCAAATAAGAAAATGATAAACCCCCAAAGACAACTTAATTTTTGATAGAATGAATGTTTGAGGAAACAAGAAACAAACTTTAAATAATGTAAAAGGCACATTTATTCTCTCAAGACCTATGAGATAGGTAGACAGGCCTTGCTACTCCCAATAAAAGGCTTTTGGAGTTTGGTTTAATTATCATAACAAAAGAAGATCAGAGCCTAAAGAGGGCAGGAGGATAAGGGGAGGGCGGTGGAGCCAGCCTCTAAGCCTCAGAGTCTAAGGAATGGTGAGGCCAGGATCAGATCCAGGTTAGAGGTCCCCCTACTACTCTGTTTTCCCCGGGCCTGCCGGAATCCAATGAAAATATGTGCTGAGAGCCTGGAAGCAGCAGCCCAGGTCCCTCTCTAAGGTTACTGTCATACTGGCAGCAAGGCACTGCAGCTTCTCTCTGCCCTCAGGATCAAGATTCAAACACTTGTGAATGACTCCTCACCAATTGGCACCCTAACCCCAAAGGCCAGTGATTCTGCCTTTCATCTTTGCACACACTGCTCTTTCCTTGTTACTTGGTTAACCCTGTCCTTCAGAATTCAGCTTAAAAGTCACGTCTTTGAAGATCACGTCTTTGATCCCTATTGTCTAACTCTCCCAAACTGGATTAACTGCCCCTCCTAAGTGCTGATTGCCACTGCTTGCTGACTAGCTTTCTCATTAGCCTTACGGGCAAGGACTGACAGTCTTGTATTTGGAAAAACCTGAATTTGTATTCCAATCTTGTCATTTTCAAACTGGGGCCACGTGAACAGCTAGCAGACCCGAGAGCCCTTTCTACAAAACAGGGAAAAGTGCACCTCCTACCCTAGCTGGTGTGGCTCAGTGGATAGGGACTGCAGCCTGAAGGGTCCCAGTTCGATTCCAGTAAAGAGCACATGCCCGAGCTGCGGGCTCATGAGGCAGCCGGTCAGTGATTCTCTCTCATCACTGATATTCCTCTCTCTCTCTCTCTCTTTCTCTCTCTCTCTCTCTCTCTCTCCCTCCCTCCCTCTCTGAATCAATAAAAAAAAATATTTAAAAAAGAAAAAGAAAAGTGCACCTCCACACAATGAGGTAAAGCATGCCTGGGCCTTCAATTGGTTATTTACAATTCAGAGCCAGGCACATGGGTATGGGAACTTCTTGGAAAATTCTAGGTTTATCGTATCATACCAGGAAGCTGGCATTTTGAACAGATGGGAAAACACAAAGGCAGCGGTTCCCCTCCCTCCACATTTCACCACCACCCCTTCCGCCAAAAATGACAAGATTTGATAATTCCCCTGAAAAGTGCATACACAGATATCAAAGACAAACTGAGTTTCTAGAAATCATAACGCCAGAAGTCTATAAAAGATTCCTTGGGGCGGGGGGGAGGATTATTTGGCCGAAACCGGTTTGGCTCAGTGGATAGAGCTTTAGTCTTTGAACTGTAAGGTCCCAGGTTCGATTCCGGTCAAGGGCATGTACATTGGTTGCGGAGACAGCTGGCTGATGTTTCTCTCTCATCAATATTTCTAGCTCTCTAACCCTCTCTGTAAAAAATATATATATATAATATATATATTGTTGATTTTATATATTAAGATTTATATATATATAAATCTTAACATATAAATATTAACATATAAATATATATATTATTGATTTCTTGTATCTATAAAGATTCCTTGAATTTGGCATAGATTCCTTTGAATTTACCAAGGGAAGAAGCAAGAGGTCCTAAGATAAAACATGGCAAATAAAACTACCTAAGGAAACTTAAACTTGTTACAGTTGTCAGTACAGAAAGAATACTTCATAAAGATGGCACTTGGATAATAATCAATGTGCAAGGAAACATGGTAAACTATGTACTGTGTGCAAACACCCGAAAAGTTACCATCTGTGCGAAAGATGACAACCCCCCCACCCCCCTTAGGACGCGGTGCACGAACACATGCTCTAACGTGGCACGGTCTTGCACGTTTAAACATTTGTTACAACCCGATAAGCACTTCCATTACGCATCTACCCAATGTTCTGGAGAAAGGTAAGCAACATAGTTAAAATAACAAGCCCTCGCTTCTCCTGGGTTCGCCATGAAATCAAGAACCAAAAACAATTATGAAAACAATTTCTCCACGCCTACTGAAGGCTGCTCACATACCAGCACACCGACTCTCTCCGACTCTGACACCACGCTGACATGTCGCTTTAATAAAACGTAACTTCCACCTCCCAGTAAAAACTAATTAGCACTTCAAAAAAGTACTCCTCCTCCCCTCCCCCTTTTTTTCCTTCTGGTTACAGAAAATATCGCTCCTGCAGAATTGTGAGGAAGGGACGGGAAGAAATGGCGTGTCCCTGCTGGCAAATTATTACACAAAAATAACACTTTGCTCCCTTTCTCTCTCTCTCTCTCTCTTTTTTTTTTTTTGTCCTGAGGTGGGGGGAGGGCAATTAAGTTTTAAGTCCTCTGCAAGTGAGACTCGCTGCAACTATTACAGATGGGCTTGGTCACTTTTATTAATTAAATTGGGGGCCACTGGCGATTCGGCCCCTCCTGGGCCGGCCTCGTCCCCATCTTTCCCCCAAGGAAGCCTCGTGGCAATTCGGGTGATGAAACACCCGGCAACCCGCAGCCACGCACTCGGGACGCGCTCCGCGGCGGCCGCAGCCGGTACCACCCCCTCCGGGTCGGCCAGGCGCCGGGCGCAGCGCCGCGGAGGGGCCCGGCCCGCACCCCGCACCCCGCACCCCGCACCCCGCACCGGCCGGGGTCCCCGCGCCGCTCCTCCCGGCCAACTTCCACGCAGCCTCCCGGCCCCTCCGCCCCCGAGCCCAAGTCACCTTCCCTATCTCTCCATCCCGCGTCCCCGCCGCTCCTCCCGAGGGCCGGTGAGCGAGGCGGAGCGGGGCCGCACGCAGGGGGCGGAGGGAGCGGCCCGCGTCTGGGCCGTCCTTCTCCGCCACGGCCGCAGCGCTAACGCCGGGGACCGGGATGGCCGGGGCCAAGCGCCTCTCGCCGCTCCGCGCCCGCTGGTGCCTCCTCTCGCGTGGCGCCGGGCCGGCTAAGCTAGCAAAAGCAGGCGGGCGGGGCCGGCGGCCCAGGAAGGGAAAGAGTGCGAGGGACTGGCTAACGCCGCCGCCCCCGCTGAGTCAGCGCGAAGCGCGTTCCCCGCGTTCTCGCCGCGCGGGCCGGAGGCAGCAGCAGCCTCATGGAAGAAGGCGGACCGCAGCCCGCGGGCCGGCGCCGGGAGCCTACAACTCCCAGCATGCAACGTGCGCGCGGCGCTTCCGGGCGGCGAGGCGCGCACGCGCTCCCGGGGCGCCGGCCTGGAGGCGGGGTCGCCTGAGCGTGTGGTGCGCGTCGGGGAGAGGCGTTCGGCCTGAAACCTACCGGAGATGCTGACTCTCGTTCCTTCTGCTCCAGTTCAAACCACGAGTGAAATATAGGCGACTTCGTCAGATAATTGGTAGATAGATGATCAGATTATCGAGATTTAATTGCCCCACGTTATTCCGATAAGCAGTGACCATTTTAAATTTCACTTTAAACATAATATTTGTCATTCATGAAAAAGAGCGTTCTTAGGAAGTTCTACTCCTAGGTTCCTCCCATGGTACTGTTACTTAGCTTATGCATTCACAGATGTGTGTGCGTGTGTGTGTGTGTGTGTGTGTGTTTTGTTTTGTTTTGTTTTAATATGGAACGTTTCACGAATTTCCGTGTCATCCTTGCGCAGGGGCCATGCTAATCTTCTCTGTATTGTTCCAATTTTAGTATATGTGCTGCCATAGCGAGCACCATTTACTGATTTGTTAATGATGCATCGAGGCAGTATAGGCTCAAGCTGCACAGATGTAAATCCTAGCGCCCTCTTCACTGGTTGTCGACCTTAGTTTCAGGCACGTTACATAACCTGTTTAGTAATCTGTAAAATGAGGATGATTCAAGTACTGACCTCGGGGTTGTTGTGAGGACTACAACCTCATGCAATAAATGCTTGATACTTAAGTTTCATTGTTGACTATTCAATACGTGCTGAATATAGACTAGGTTGCAGTCATTGGGACTACAGTAAAGAACATACAAAACTTGGGAAGGGGGAATAGAAAAAGAAGTAGAATAAAATTACTGTAGCAATTGAACAGCTACATTTTAGTGACACTGCACCAGACTTT